ATGGATGACAATGGAGTGATACCTTTGCTTGCGCTAAAGGTATACGCTGGCGGGGAACTAGTGAATAATGATAGATGAGGATGAAAAGGCAGGTCAGTTAGCCTATCGTGACGAATTTAACGTTAAACTAGTCACGATAGTTTTCAGGGGGATGTCGACCTGATAGTATATATTGATAGCAATTGGGACTAACCTCCCCATTACCAACAATCCCTTCTCCTCAAATCTCAGGTTTAGGAAGGTTTAAAAAACTATAATACGTTATGATTGTTAGTGACATTGTTGCACCATTTTTCTGTCTCTGTCTTTATAGGAATTTGTGCTTCATACAAAAACATTTAGAAAAACTAAATTTAGTTATTAAATTGTTAAACCTGCAATGCCTTTGGTGTTGTAAGTGATCATGGGCGGCGGTAGTCACTTACCATCAGGTGAGCCGCATGCTCGTTTGCCCCCTGTGTTGTAAAAAAAAAAATTAGTTATCGTTTATAAACTCAGAATGTGTGTGACCCCATATCCGTATACTTATTTATAGTGTACATATAGAAAATCATTCAGAAAATATCAATATATAATCGGTCGGTCTCTCCGTATGTTTGTAAGAACTAATCTCAAAAACGACCATAGTTATTTTATACGGTTTCCACTAATACATTAGTTAAGTTTAATGGTTAAACCGGTTTTGACGTCACACTGCAAACACCTGCGTGACAACTGACATGTGAGACGAATAAAACAGAGTGTGACATGACATAAACGCCAAATAAAACGACAAGGAAAAGAAAACATATTTCTAAATAAGTAAATAGTAACACTTTGTAAAGATGTTCTTTTTTTTTCAATAACGTAGTACTTCATAGACGTAATATAACATATGTACATTTAAAAGTTAGATTTTTTTTTCATTTCATTTCACGAATACTGTAATAGGTCCGGGGGGAAAGGGATTGTTAGTAATGGCTTTTGATAGCCCTATTGCTAGCAATATGCTCTATTAGGTCGAACTCCACGTGGTTCCCCCTAGAAACTATCGTGAACAATTCTTGTTGAATTCATCACGATGGGCTATCTGACCTGCTTCATCCTCATCTATCATCCTTCACTGGTGCCACGCCGGTGTAAACCGATAGCGCGGGTGGGGTTACAGTTCCATTATCACCCATTAAAAAAAATACTGTAATAGGTAGATGAAGGTTATATGATAGTTATAAATATATGTAGTAATATTATCTAAATTCTCTCTCTCTCTATCTATCTAATCTCTCTCGAAATCTCTCGAATCTCTAATAAACAGGTGACGAATCCTTATGCAAAATATCCTACAGTCAATATATAAATAAAAAAGGCACGATGAATAATATAATGTTTTTCACTGGACCGTTTTTATTTTTACTTCATTTGTATAAAATTAGAAATGTGGAATTCATCTATGTGGTCATATTGCCCACATATATCCACAGTTTGTATGTTTATAGGATTTATATTAACTACAGTAATAATAAATAGATAACTAATTAATAGATAAATATACTCTGTTATGTCCATGGTTCTGCTCATGTCTATAGGCGAGGGTTACCACTTTCCATCAGGTGGGCCGTCAGCTTGTTTGCCATTCTAAGTTGTATAAAAAAATTATAGACCTCCCTATATTTGGGGGTTTTGCCAGTACTTACCCCTATACCACCCCTGGCAGGCAAATTGGCAACCGCAGTTAGTCTTTGGTAATATTGGTGAGGAACGCTGCTGCCCAACCCTCTAGACCATTAAATTCCCTTAGTCACCTTTTGTGACGTCCACGGGAAAGGAGGAAGTGGCTTATTCTATGCCGGGACCATACGGCTAAAACTGTTCTTTCTCATATTATACTATTAAAAAAAAAAACAACACAGAAATATTATGTAAAAAATAATCTTAAATTAGTTATATATAAAGTTATTATAATCCCTAATCAAGTCTATGTTTTTAGTAGAATTTGCCTGTGAGAAACTTATTTCAGTTTAGTGTAATTGAACTCGTGCTAACAATTATGGAAATTTGTTTTCTAAAAATCAGAGAAATAATTTATTCAGTACATTATCAAGTAAATGACTACTTGTATATATAATTATGTGTAATTACATAATTAATTCTTGTTATCATGCATAATACTTAACAAGTATTTTACAAGATTAGCCTAAAAACCTAATAAGCAGTCATTTAACTATACTACTTAACTTAGTTTTCATTGGGGGAATGGTATTGTTAGAAATGGGGTCTAACTACCCCATAGTATAATTTTCACCCATTAAAAAATATCTTTATTTATATTATATATGGCTACTAAACACTATTTTAACATCATGACCGTCGCGTTCGTACCCTGTAAATTTATTAACACTGAACCTACCAAGCGCGGTCAAATGACCGTTTTTGAAATTTTGTTAAAAAATTTACATGTGTAACGTTACCGCCATGTAACTTATTGACTTTTCCTATAATATATATACAACTCAATACTTACAACTTACTATTATTTACTTGTTTACTATCCAATTAACTAAAATCTCTTTCTATATTAAGATACATACTTTATTTTAAAGTGGTCATTTGACCGCTCATGGTAGAATTAGGTAAATATGAAATGTCGGTAGGGTTAGTGTTAAAATTAATATATATATATATATATATATATATATATTTATATATATATATATATATATATATATATATATATATATATATAATCACAGTAGTACCGTACTCATACCTTCAGTTACACAGTATCTATTCATAAACAATAAAAGTTGTCAATAAAATATTCCACGTATACTTGATCACCAAGTAGGACAGTTCGTGTGATTAACAATCAATCCCTTTATTTATTCAATAGCTGTGTCCACACTATGAATAAATAACAACGACCTATCCAACTTAGAAATGTTTGGGATTTACACCTTTCTTAATAAAAACGAGTCCTCAGTATGTAAACAATAATAGTTGATTACATATTCAAGATGTCTTGTTAAAAATAAACAAGTACATAGTTCAAATGAAATCAATATTACGCCGTTTATTATATTATTATATACCTATAAAAATATATGCCCTTCTCTGTCTTAAACAGTAAATGTATATCACATTTAATGACAATTGATTGAGATGTTAAGGTACAAAGAGTTAACAAACAAGCAAATAAACTTATACTTTCACACTTACAATATCAGTAAGGATTCAAAAGGATTTAAATTAGGTGGTTTAACAATCACATTTGCTAATCCTCGTATAATTAATAATTGCTAATCCATTGTAGTATGATACCGTATCAACGGTATCATACTTCAAATTTCGCTCATCAGAGCGAAATTTTTACGAGTTCCCAACCGGATGTTCTTTTTTATATTTGTTACCTCAAAATTCCGTCAGTTATAAGCCGATTTAAAAACGTTTTTTTGTCTAAAAGGATATTCTTCCTAGTTTAATTGATAGTTTAATTTTTAAATCAATATAACTGGTTTTACCACAATTGAAATTGAATTTTTTTTAGACACAATCTTGTATTATTACTTAAAAAGTAAGTGCGTCGACTGAGATTTTTGAAACTTCAACTGCAATCAACACACGATCAAATATTTTGTTAAATACTAAGATAAAGTTTATCTCGGATTATGTTTGAAGTTCCACTGCTTGATAGATTTTACAAACATATAGCTCAAATTATAAGTAAACTAAAATTAAAAAAACTATACGTCTTGAAATTTCTTGATATCTTAAATCTTTGAACACTGAAACACAATGTGTTCGTAAACTCCATGTCTAAATGTTATGTAAGTAGACATTTGTCCTGTTCAAATCATATATATAATAATATTATAATAGTATTACTGAAGAATAAGCAAGCTGAAGTGACAATAGACCGGCTACATAGCCCGAAGAATCGACAACCGACAGAGAAGAAACGTTCTCTAGTGGCAACCTCGTATAAACATACGTAGAAAATCCACTAGACGGAGTTACGATATCAAATGTATAATATGGTTAGTAGATGCAAATGGTTCAAGACCTTTCCTTATTGCGGTCAATGATGGAGATCTATCTTCAGTAGTCGACATTTACGGCTGATAACGATAATAATATACCTTCGTTAGTTCATATGTTGTATATCTAACATTATTGAACATAATATTCAAATGTATATAACAGACTTTCCAATAGACAATTTCACAGCTGGTAAACCACAAACATATTATATTGATGTGTTCGTTCAACAAATAATGAGTGTTACCGCAAAGTAACGGCGCGCGACCGCAAGTCTCATGTCGCACTCTGGGATATTTAATACTTTAAGATTTTAGTACTGAACTTAGTAATCATAAACTGACTGCTTCAAAGAATTTTCTAAATTAGTCTGCTACTGTACGATAGGATTTTAATAATGAAACTATTTTGTAATCAAAACCTTTTAAAGTATATTGCGAATTTAATTTTATCAGACAAGACGATGGGACGTTGTCGAGAAAATGTATTTTATAAAGTTTAATGAACATCAATTTTGAAAATAAAGTTTATTATAACTCATACTAATAATATATACTATGACACTATAAATAACTACATTAATCTAAATTACTTATTTATCTATATTTACGCTAGTTAGTCATAGAAAAGTGAATGCCAAAGGCTTGTATTTTTACAAATGAATTTGCTTCATCTTCCACAAGCGATACTGGAGAATGTTTACTTCTCTTTCAAATGCTAAAACTGCTCCCATCATAACAACTTATTAAAGTTCCATGGCTGGGCATGAGCCTTCCCCCATAAAAGATAAACGTGCATCGTATTTCTTAATACCACACTAACTTTGTATAGGTTATAATCTATGATTATAATTTTCAGCTTTCCTTCGGACTGGTATATTCCAATGAGTTCTCACTTGCTGTGTAATTGACTCTTACGACATTCTTCACGAAGAGGAAAGGTGGCAGTTGGAATAAATAAATAAATTTCCATTGTATTGTCCACAGAGGGTGGCGGGTTTACCAAGAGATCGCGCGGCGCGGTGGTACAGCGCGCGCGGCAGGTGACCGACGGTTTGCGCGGCTGATGTGGGCGGCGGGCGCTTGCTGCTCGCGGCAGGCAGGTGTGTGCCCTTGTATAACATAGACCAGCAGTCCTCCATAGACAAGGGCTTAATGAACCTGTCGGTAGACACATTTTCGTTAGCGTATGCGTGATAAAGAACAAGACATTAAATGTTGCAGTCTAGTTCTATCTCATGCTCGCGGAACGATTGGGTGGCTATCATAGTGTTGTTGGCCACTTATCTATTGTCATGAAAGATGGACTTATATATAATTTAAAGAGCTAATGTTCTCCTTCTTGTTGTCTAATTCTACCTTAAACCTTCATCTCACCATAAACCATAAACCATGAATTGCATCGTCATCATAATTTTTTGGAACTTCAATTCTGCTATTTACAAACGCTCTTATATGGATTCTTGATAAAGTAATCAAATTGTATTTTGAGCATTATCAAATACGTAAAACGAGAAAATACGTAAAAAGAGGTTTTACATGTTTGTTAGTTATTCCCTTAACTTTGTTTTAACTCTATGATTACTATTCAAACATTTGTAAACAAGTAGCGGAATTGAAGCTAGCCTTAACGTTATTTGGGATCGGCGCAGCATTTTGGCGTTCTGATTATTCTGTTATCATTTTTATCACATAAAAAAATTAATATCATTTTCACACAATCCATTTGCCTTTTATCGGATCTTCCATATCCATCCACTTTTAAAATTATCATTCTATTATCTAAATGAAATCCTATTAACTTTTTAAACGCGAAAGTTTATATGGATGGGCATATGTCTGTTACTTTTTCGCGCAAAAACTATTGAACGGATTTGAATGAAATTTGGATACACGAGTAGTTTTTTTTTTTACACAACTTAGAACGGCAAACAAGCTGACGGCCCAGCTGATGAAAAGTGGTAACCGTCGCCTATAGACATGAGGCAGTACCATGGATTATATCCTAACGTGGCCCATAAGATACTTTATGCATTAATTCACACGAGCGAAGTCACTAGATACAGCTAGTAATTCATATAATCCCATATGTCCAACATCATTGTTAAAACAATAACCCTTTAATTAACTTCCCACTGTGAGACACGTGTCGCTCCTCATAAAAGGGTGATATTAGCCTACTGCGCCATATTAGCCGAGGGGCATGCATGTAATAGATGGTTTTATTTTGGGTTTAATCTCCGTTACACTAGTGTATTCTTCTGGTTGTCCTTCACGATACCACGGGGTTGAAAAGGATGGGTGACTTTCCATTCATATTCTGTTAACAAACAAAGAACGTCTTATAATCATAGGTGCATTGAAGGGAGAGCCAGTTGGACTGTGCTCGCCCCAGAATTGCCTGGTGCCACCTTCCAAATTCGAGAATAGCTTCACAGAGACATGTTTGAGAGCCCCTGCCCCTTTCCCCCTGAAAAATAGTCTTAAATACGCCAATGTTGATGATATCTACATCAAAGCAATCTATTTTTTTTTCTTTTTGCTAGTAGAACAAGCATGTATAAAGACAAAGGCTGGCAGAATTTAGTATATCCGTCACACAAAGGTCTCGTATGACGTTTCTCTACAGCAGCATATTTATTGCTATTGCCAACGGACAGCAGCCAAATCTCACACATATTTTTGGCAATGCGAGTACAGAAAAGAACAGTAGTTTTACGTGTAAAGCCATATTGTTTCAATGTCCCATGCCCTCAGTGTACAACTATTGTGTGAACTATTCTTTTTTTTATAATGAAGTCCCCATATTTCGTAAGAATAGAACAGTAACAATTAGATATGATTTGTACCAAAATCTTCCTTCAACTACCTCTGTACTTAAAATACCGTGATAATCATTCTTATTGCAGTAGGTACTAGCACCACGCAGCTACGCTAAAGCAATTTGTGAATAGCGAAACTCATGTTTATCAATATATTACACGGAATCCAATCAAATGCAGTCAAAGAGAAATCGAAAAATACTTATTAATTTAATTACACAATATTTTAGCAAATTAATACAACCTTGAAGGCTGTTTATCACGTGGATATCAACAAGGTCATTCACTTAACACGCTTGTGAGCACAACCGGGGGCAGGGATCTCTAAAGTTCGTTGCCATTGCCCATTTACGTAAACTGCCACACCATTGCTCCTTAATCTATTCTACTTAGTGTATCAATTCTTTTCATCACAACTTTAAATAGATACTAAATACTTATGCATTATTTTAAGTTCTTTAAAAGCTTAAATTGACTATTAATAAAAAGTGTTCTGCAAAAATATACTTTCTAATCTTTAAAGTTCCAGAAAGGAATTTAGATTCTCTTTTAAGTTAAGCTAATGCAAAAAGTTTTAAATAACAATTTTGTAAGACGTAATATCGCATGAGTGCTGGTACTAACGCCCCACGTGCACTATACATAGAAAAACCGCGGTAGAGATTGCAATCCTCATGTATAGTACCACCAGATCAATGATGACCAGCCCCCGTAGACAAGTAGCGAACCAATATATCGATAGAATCGTTTCGGTTAGCGCTCGCATGAGATAGAACAAGGTCTCGGAGGTCGCCATCTCATGGACTGGCTAGCAATGACTACTGTCGATGACTTCGTTCGCCACTCGTCTAGGTGGGCAGTTTCGTCGTACCAAATCCCCATCGCGGTCGTCCCATAGTGCACTTAGGGCGTCCCCGTCAGCCTGGCGTGGGGCTGACGGCGGTGTATGTTGGTAGCTAGCAGGCACTCATGCGTGACGGAGTGACTAACCGTGGCGGGGTGGCAGGCGAGAGCGGCGGCGGCGCCACGGCCGCGCGCACGCCACTCAAGACCTTCCAAGCGTACCTGCCGCCAGCGCACCGGACCTACAGCTGTATACACTGCCGCGCGCACCTGGCCAGCCATGACGAGCTTATATCTAAGGTGAGAAGTCTTTTAATATCTCTGAAACCATTCCTTCTTTTTTATACAACATAAAATGGCAAACGAGCTAATGGCGCATTTGATGGAAGATAACCATCGCCTGTGCACATTATCAGTACTATGATGGTCATAGTATATCTCAGGTGTTCCTGTTCTTGAGGATTAGGAATTTTTTGGATGAAGGTGTGTGTGTTGGAATGTGTGTAAATGTGAAGTGAGGCATCAATGTAGGATGAAGTCATGTTGGCCTATCGTGGCGAATTTACTAGTAGTCAGCCACGAGGTCGAACTTTCAAGGAATATTGCTAGAATATTAACATCATTACTAACAGGCCCTTCTTTTTTTTATACAACTTAGAATGGCAAACAAGCTGATGGCCCACCTGATGGAAAGTAGTAACCGTCGCCTTTAGACATGAACAGTACCTGACAGAGTATACTGTTACCCTCGTGATATCATGATGACCCACCATGCATTGCCATTCCTGAGGACTAACTAAACTGTTACGCCTCTGTACCCTGTAAATTCGCTGCCATATGCCATCCTTTAAACCGAAAACAAACAAATTAAATTTATAATAATTTTGACTTAAATGTATTACATATTTTATTTATATTAGTCTTTAGAATAGAAATTTCGATTTGTTATCAAATTGCAATTTTAATTTTAGAAATAACTTTGTAAAAATGTCGTTTCATAATCGACCCCAATTAGTTTTTTATATATATATATTTAGTTTTTATATATATATATATATATATATATATATATATATATAGGGAAATTGTAAAATTTAGTCCTAACGTAATTTGTTATTGCAAAGCAAAATTGAAAGCCTTTCTCGCTGACCAGACCAGGGGTGGCCGATTTAACTAGGCCCAAATTCTACTGTTTACTGACGAAACCCTCAATACTCTACCGATTACTTACTTCTTGAAATAACAAATGAAATAAATTTTATTAAGAGGGAAAAGATATAAATGAAAATTATTTTTAGTAACTAATAGTTGATAAAACTATTGAGGACAGAAGGGAAAAAATGTTAGGACACTTGATACGACACGACGAACTTATGAACATTATAATAGAAGGTAAGATAGAAGGAAGAAGGGGAAGAGGGAGACCGAGACATAGTTACATCAGGCAGTTCAAGGAAGGAGTTGGTGTCGTGTCGTATCAAGAGGTGAAGAGACTCGCTGAAAATCGTAGTGAGTGGCAAGAGCTCCACCGACAAGAGCGCAGCTCTTAAATGGATAGATAGATAGATAGATAGACTTATTGATATTAGTGTGAGATTAGCAAAATATTATATTTTTGCCTTGCTACGATCGCCTAGACTAATAGTCGTGATCGATCTGGTGGCTACCCCTGATGTAGACCATGTAAGGTTACTTCAGATAAAACTACTTCTACTTGAGGCTCTTTGCCATCTTGAGATGGAAAGGAGAGTTCGGCTTGTCAATCTGCTACCAACACTAGCCTGCTTCGAACATTTTTCAATCACGTCATAAATTATTTGAATATGTTTTTAAACTCATTTAATTTAAAATATATTGTTTATATTTTTATGTATATATCTATATTATTGTCTGTTGTATACATAATAAATGTTGTTTAACATGTAAATTTGTATTACTTCCAGTCGTTTCAAGGCAGCCAGGGGCGCGCGTATCTCTTCAATTCTGTGTGAGTATAGCATTATATACATAGTCAATACATTTATATTCTTGATTATATTTCATGTCACACCGCCGGTTCACGCTCTGTAACCTTGGAATATTGACGATTTAAAGTCACACTTGCCTTGTGTGTTTGAATAATTTAATGTTCTGGATACAATTCCTGGATTCATTGAAATATTTCCATTGCGTGTTCTCATCCGTGTGATAATTACGAATGAGTAGCTGTTGTGTAAGTTGCTTTATTACCCGACTGTAAAAGAGAATAGGATAAAGTTTTTGCACTCGTATGTATGAAGTTGTTGTATAGTCTGTTTCAATAAAATTTAATGAGAATATAAACAAATGTCATGAATAAACGTTGGCGTGAGGTCCCGGCATAGAGTGGGCCACCCCTTTCTTTCCCGTGGCTATCATAAGAGGTGACTGAGAGTAGTAATTAGTTGAGGGATGGGCAGTAAAGTCCCTCTTAAAACATCATCTGCTAAGCATGGCAACTATTGGCATAATTTCTCTAATGGGTAAAGTGTATGGTCAGCAGTGGACAGTTAACGGCTGATGTGGTACGGTATGAACAAACGAATAATTGACCCGATCGTAAGACAGTTAAAAAGACCTAAGTCAAAAAAGTCCAATAGTAAGTACACGAATCGATACATACATATCGATTCATATATAAATATGATATCATACAGGAATATTTCGATTTGTCTGATTTCATTGAGGAAATAGTTCCGTGGTAATTTCAACAAACTTGAGTAAAAGGTAATCGACCTTTTCCTTAAGTTCTGTTGAGACAGACTGTAGGATCGTCTCGATCTTTGATGCAAAATATATTCTAAATGACTTGCTAAATTTGGATAAATTGGGTGTCGTTCATTATCATAATTTTAACCCATCCATCGTCCATTGCTAAGAATAGGTCTCCGTCATATTTTGCCACAATTTTCAATCCTAAGTTATTAAGCACCTGCCTGAAACATTTTTGAGATCGTCACTTCATCTCGTAGCGGGTCAGCCCATACTGCGCTTGCCTGTCCAAGATCATCACATGAGAACCTTTCTTTCTTACCTATTATTAGTTTCTCTTGCTAATTCTTCGAATTGTATTGGTCATTTTAGTTCTATAGATATAGCCATTTCAGATGCAGTAAAATTTCGAACAACTCTTTATAGTTTGCTTAGCTACTCGAAGCATCCTCGATCCTCATATGGCTAATGTTCATAACTACGACTGCCATCCGTCCGGAATTACCCGGATTTGTCCTAGTTTGAAGGGCGTCTGGGGGCCGTCCAGCAGGGGTTTTTGAAAAGTGTCCAAGTGTAACCCGGACTCTTTTGTTGTCAGGGGAAATCCATTTTTTTATAGGTAGGCGATCAATTGAAATGAATCTTAGTTAGAAATTCATCCACAATAACCCTGTTTTTATATAACAATGTTTTTATTTTTGTTACAAAAATATTTTTTCAGAAGTGTCCGGATAAAAAACCATACTTCCCCAAATGTCCGGGATTTTGTCCGTGTTTATCTGGTATCGGCAATTTAGGTGATGGCAGCCCTAGTCTCAACCATAAAAAAAATTGTCTTATGGTAAGACAATGTATGGGTCTCGTTACAATAATTTTAATTATGGGGATACATTATGCTATATAACATTAACATAAAATAAACGGTTTATAAGCACATAGTAAATAAATGGCGACCATAAAAGTTTTAAATATTGATGTTAGAGATTTAACAGTTTTATGTAACTTTGTTACGTTTATTTATATTTATTAAAAGTCACTTAATGGTGCTTATTCAATTGTCATTGTAATAAAAAACTATGTAATTCGTAATAACTTAAGAAATATATCGCTTATAATTGTCTTATATCGGTCGTTAACTGTCAACTGCTGAACTCCCCCATAAGGGGGTCTTGCTAGTAGTTGCCACGCTTGGCAAGTGAGTTGGCAACTGCAGTTAAGATTTGGTGATGTTTTAAGACTGGCCTTGCTGCCCATCCCTCGGCTATTAAATTCCCTTAAATTATTTGTAAATTCGACACCCACGGAAAAGAAAGGGGTAGCCCATGCTATGGCAGGACCACACGGCAATATAAACGTTTAATGCCTAGCAACTAGCTAGGCGTGCATAAAAGACTTGCCCTCTTACAGCAAATAAGGTATTTACGTTCAAGAACCCTTTTACTGAGAACGAGTTAAGTATTTAACCTTAAGGGCGGCGTCTTGAAATACGAACCACCTTTGAATTGACCTTTGATGGCCTTCACTTCAGTACGACTACGTCTTAAATGTCAAACGCTCTGTAGGACTTTTTAAGCGGATTCAAGAAGTAGATTTTCAATTGTACGTTATTTATTGCGTAATTCAACGTAGCACGGCATGATATTGTGACGATAGAAATGTATTTATTAATTTAAACTTTAATGCATAGTTTATTGGTTTGTAAATTCGGCGGACTTAACACCGGATAGTGTTAAGTCTGTCACACTGGTAGACAGTCAACTAACTATTGGGCAAAAACAAAAATATGTAGGTAGGCGGTGCATTTAAATATTAAAAAAACATTAAATAATTAAGCATTACTTCATATTCAAACATAAATAGTGATCACATAATTCGAAGAACTGACAACCGATGGAGAAAAAAGGTTCTCAAGTGGCGACCACGTACGGGTAAACGCAGAGTAGCACGACCTCCGACTAGATAGAGTGAGGACCTCAAATACATTGCAGGGAGTCAGTGGATGTAGGTGAATCAGGACTGTTCCTTATGGCAGTCTATAAGGGAGGCCTATGCCTAGCAGTGACGAATAATGGCTGAAAAACATATCAAATAGTAATTTGACTAATATAAACAAACACAAAATAAATATAGGTACATAAAATCAATACATAGAAGATTATTATATAAAATAAGTAACTGTATTCGAAAAGCAAAGAAAACAATTTATAATTCGTACAACATAATCAGCAAGGATAAGTTTAAAGGGAAAGTGAGAAAATAAAACAATTCTTTTTATAAATCGGTCTTTTTTAAAAGTGGGAACGCAATTTATGACTAAAAGAAATCGCACTATAACGTGCTATAGTAAATTGTAAAAAAGCTGAATTTCTTGTCTATTTTTCTCAGCTAAAATTTCACTCCTCACAAAGAATAATAAAAAAAAAATACAATGGAATAAATAATTATATGAAAATTTATTTAATGTCTCTTCAAATAATGATACAGATTACATAAGTCAACAAAATTTATAAGGATAAAATAAAGTTGTGTTTGGTCAAGACTATAGTAATGATAGAAAAATAATAAAAAAGAGGCTAAATACAAAATGTTTTAAGTTTATTTAATTTTTTCATGAGCATTAGAGCTTAATTTGTTCAGATCTAAAAAAGGTTAAGGTTTCTTCAGGATCGGCAACGCGCACGTGACACCCCTAATATTGCAGGCATCCATAGGCTACAGTGCTCGTTTACCATTAGACGGGCTGTATGCTTGTTTACCACCTTTGTAGTATAAAAAAAATCTAAAAGCGATTATTATCAGTTTCCATCAATTGAACTCACAGTTCGTTTGCCGTTCCAAGTTGCTTTAAAAATGATAATATAATTTAATTATATTTTGCTTTTTCATCTGAACCAATTTCAATTGTATTCGCCCTTTTCTGTCTATTGATAACAGAAAAATATTTAACAGACTAGACACAGCATCGATTTGAAATTCATTTATTCTGTTTGAGCTTCCAAAGGTCGGTCGGGGTAAAATTCTTGCTTCAGTCTTAAGATCAAGCAAAATAATTATATTCTAATCCTACGGATAAAATAAACACAAATCCATAGTTATCTAAACGAACCCGTTCATCGTTGTTATAAACTAATTATGCGACCTAACAATTTTAGCAAAATAATTATAGGATTATTTAATATCATTCGCGTATTTAACTTCTATTTTTATTTATTTAAAAAAAAAAAAAACCAACAGCGCTTTATAAATAAAGTAACAAACATTTTATAATAGAGTAGTACGGCCAATAACAGGTTTTTCTAAATCAAATTCTGTACATTAAGTAGTTGACAATTGTTAAAGGAGAAATAGAAAAATAAATCAAACCGGTAGGCAATCGATGACATCATATTTATATATATGCACAACAGATATCATTATTTCAGCCATTATCCGTCCACTGCTGGATATAAGCCTCCCCCATAGACTGCCATAAAGAACGGTCTTGTACTACCTTCACCCACTGACTCCCCTGTAATGCATTTGAAGTCGTCACTCCATCTAGATATATACACCCAATAATAAATATATGCATATGTATCAATACATACATACGCACATATACATACATAAACAAATATGAAATTTTGTATTTTCGGATTTGAATGTGTGTAACTCATAGGTGTCTAAATATGTCTGAATATGAGAATCTACAATCCCAAAGTTTTGGACCAAATTTTTGTGCAAGAAATTAAAATTTTGGCAGCATTTCTTTCGTTAGTTTTTTGTTCAGTTCTAAAATTTCAGACTGTTTTTTCTAGTTCTATCTCGGTGTAAGATAAGAAGAAAAGCCAGTATTCCGATGCCTTTAGCATGTCCCGAACGATTTTACTCTTCGGAATGCATTGCTCCATTTAGATGTCTGTTAGATGACTGATACAAAAGTTCATAAGACTGTGATGTTATTGTGTGGCCAATACATGTTATATTATTTCTATATTTATTTCGTTTGCAGTGTAAACGTGGGGTGCGGTCCGGCGGAGGAGCGCGTATTGTTGACTGGGCTACACGCGGTCGCAGACATATACTGCGAGTGCTGCAAGACTATGCTGGGCTGGAAATATGTAAGTTGCACTCTAGTTTGGCCATTTTTTTTTTATACAACTTAGAATGGCAAACATGCTGACGGCTCACCTGATGGAAAGTGATAACCGTCGCCTATAGACATGAGCAGTACCATGGACATAACAGAGTATACTGTTTCGCCCATGATACCCCCCATGCGTTGCCATTCCTGAGGACTTAGGTGTTATTCCTCTGTACCCTGTAAATTCACGCCATATCCCACCCTTCAAACCGAAACACAGCCATGCAAATACAACTGCTTCACGGTTGAAACACGAATGGGACAGAGTTACCCAAGCAATCGACTTTTGTACAAAGTCTCCCTCTGGTAAATTGATTAACAGCACATTTCACATAGGCTTGTTACAGAAACAAACTAGAACTAGGTGTGAGCATTTTTCTTATTTTTGCCTATAACTCGTCTTATATAGGTTGCCAATTTATGTAAAACTAACAAAATAACTAAATCTCGAATAATTCATGTTTACACTCGATGCCGATTATTTTACATCACCAATAAAATTATTTTTTAAGAACATTTACAAAGGATTGTGAAACTTACATAGAAAATCCTCTGAACGCTACCCTAATGGTTTTGAAACCAAAACAAATTCGTGGAAACACAGACGTATGGTAATCCTAATTTCACCTAATTCAATGACATCAATGATCAACATGATAGAAATAGTTTTTAAATCATATCCAAAAAAATATAATGAATAGAAAAATGGCGCATTTTGTTATATTCAAAAAGAATTGTCAGCTAAAAGTCACTTTTAGTTGACTATTAAGCTTAAGATCGTTCTTAACGAAGTGTGGCAACGACGCAATTATCTGTCAATTTTAAAAAACAATTGAAATATTTTCAATGTTTCCGATTGATTATTTAAAAAATGCTCTGCTTACGAACTAAAATGTTAATCATGTAATATTGCTCTTATTAAGCTGTCGCTGAAGATTTAAATTTTAATGGCAAAGATGTATTTGAAAATTTATATTCTCATTTAGATAATAAATAGTCTATCGAGGTAAAAAGTTTATTTTTTTTACATATGTTACATTATATGGTTAATGTTTTAATTCGTAGGCAGAGCACTTTTATATAATCAATCAGAAACATTGAAAATTCTTCAATTGTTTTTCAAAATTGACAAACAATTGCAACGTTGCCACACTTCGGTGAGCAAAAATTATGAACGCTCATAACCCATTCTCTAACTATGATACTCAATGTTTCATTAACTCATATCTTACTGCAAAAATGTCCGTGTAACCAACAGTTACAACAATAAGATCTGATTCACCATCTGATCATATGAACCTGTAGTCGTATTTTTTTATGTACGTACCTATCACACGTACATTTGGAATTATATTTGTAAGATTACATTGCACGATGTTATCTATTTACCTTTTACGTGTTTAGAATATTTAACAAACGGAAAAGACTCATAAAATGTTGGAAAATATTTCCTTTAGTTAGTCTACAGTTTTATTTTAAAATGACCATGAACCTGATGTGACCTAACCGACTTCAAAGAGAAGGAAGTTCTGGATTCGTTTTTTTTTATGTTTGTTACCATATATCTACGTCGGTTCGAAACCGATTTGGAAAATTCTTTTTTTTATCTAAAATTTTTATGAATAAAAATTTTTTTATCGAATATTATTTATTTTTATTTACATATTAATTCTATAGATATTTTATCAAAATCGGTCCAATAATTTAGTGTTTAAATCAAAATAACTGATTGTGCCACAATTGAAGTCTTTTTTTTTTATTTGTGAAATACTTATACCAGAGTGATACTTTGTACAAAAGTCGTTTTCTTGGGCACGTGTCCCATTTGTGTTTCTATCGTGAAGCAGTTGTGTTTGCATGGCTGTGTTTCGGTTTGAAGGGTGCGATATGGCAGTGAATTTACAGGGTACAGAGGAATAACACCTGAGTCCTCAGGAATAGCAACGCATGAGGGGGTATCATGGACCAAACAGTATACTCTGTTATGTCCATGGTACGTACTGCTTATGTCTATAGGTGACGATTACCGTTTTCTATCAGGTGGGCCGTCAGATTGTTTGCCATTCTAAGTTGCATAAAAAAACTATTTGTGTTTAGTTGTATTTATGTAAATGTTTAAATATTTTTTTATTCTGTTTAATATTAACAATTTAGTACACTGCATTACTTACTAAATACATCGAATTTCGGACTATTATTTGTGAAACTGTTTAACAAGATACCCACTGACTGTGTCACCTTTTATCATCGAACCGCTCGCTGGTGATTTATTCTGAAATCCTAGTACCAAAATGGTCACGCAAAGTACGGTTCCAGAGGAGTTTCCTTCCGTGACCGCTCAAGTTGTGGAATGAACTTCCTACCGAAATTTTTCCTTGATATACTATAGCACGGAGTTTATAAACAAAGGCATAATATTTCTTAAGAGTAAAAAAAAGCGCGCGCGACTGGCGTTGCAGACGTTTATAGACTACCATCAGTCGGGCCGTATGCTGCCATGGTAGTATAAAAAATATATCCTATTAATAACAAATGCCAAAGTTTGTAAGGGTAGACGAATAGATGTTCTTTTGTATATATGTATGTAATGGACGAATAATTGATTCTTTCGTACAAAAATTACTGAACGGATTTGAATGAAATATAATGAATAAAACTTATAACATATTCGTAGAATTCTTTATATACTGATTCTTGCGAGCAAAGCCGCGAAAAATAGCTAGTCTGCAAATAATCTACAAACAATGATGAACAAATTTACCTAATTATTTTAATTTTTTTAAAATGACCAGAGATAATGCTGTAGTAAATTCCACAAATTGTTTGCGATTACGACATAATCGTATTTATATGTAAAATGATAATCGAATTAGATAGAGGACCCTTTTAATAACCACAATGTGTAGAACTCCGAGGCGAGTTTGTATGAATAGATTTATGGATGTGGAGGAAACAAAAGAGGTCTGTTTGACTCGGAGCACACCAAATGGTGTTCTATTGTTCTGCATACCCCAGCAGTATCTACTTATCAAATCGATATTATATACATATATATACCTACAAACTTTGTTTGGTTAATCAAATTGGTATTATTGAAATAACCAATATTACCCAAAGGTCTTAAGGCACAATTGCATGCTATGTTTCTAAAAAAAAAGAAAACCTAAAAAGGCTGTAAAAATTAATTAAAAAATTATTCAAAAATCGAATGATGTGCATAATTAAAATTTTTGTCGAAGTCAGCCTCGCTTCATAAAAAAAAAATGTAAGAAATCTATGTAACCATTGAATTTGAAAGTTTTGCATTACAGGTGGTAAAATAGCATATTGGTTTAATTAAATATATTTTCCGGGTGGAAGAAAGGGAGAGAGGCTGGTCCCTTAAAAAGGCGCATATGCACTCTCCGACTTAAGACGTTAATCATGACGTTCCTACAAAGCTCTGACTGAATATTTAGATTTTTATGGCAAAAATGTTAGAAAAGTTTCAAAGTAAAATATTAAGTAGATACAAAGTTTTTAGTGGAAGATTTTTTTTTTTATCAACTTAGAATGGCAAACAAGCTGACGGCCCACCTGATGGAAAGTGGTAACCGTCGCCTATAGACATGAGCAGTACCATGGACATAACAGAGTATACTGTTTCGCCCATGATACCCCCCATGCGTTGCCATTCCTGAGGACTCGGATGTTATTCCTCTGTACCCAGTAAATTCACGCCATATCCCACCCTTCAAACCGAAACACAGCCATGCAAACACAACTGCTTCACGGTTGAAACACGAATGAGACAGAGGTACCCAAGCAATCGACTTTTGTACAAAGTCTCCCTCTGGTAAAAATTACAGCATATTCTATGATTAACGTTTTAGTTCACTAGCAGAATAATTTTTAAATAATCAGTGAGAAACATTAAAAATTGTTCAATTGTTTATGAAGATTGACAGATAATTGCGACGTTGCCACATTTTTGTGAACTAAAATTATGTACGCTCTTAAATCACATACTTATCTGAGGCACAGAGTCCTTTCAGCCAAGTGCTATTCAATAATTTTCGTTATTGAAAATCTGATAATTTACCACCTACCCTCATTTGTAAAAGAAAATCTTTTAAAAAAATTCAGTACTATTCTGTATTTACATAAGAGATTAATAGTGGAACAAATACGTCTTTAATACAGTAAACTGAATATGACCTAAATAGCATTGCTTCTATTCTGAGCACATAAGAGCATATTATTCAATATTAATTAACCCCTATAATTAGTGAATAGCAATCAGCAATCGGTCGAGATAGATAATACAATGATTGGACGCCCTCGCGACCCGAGCACGCTCGAGCCTGTCTCGAATTAAATGGGCATTTTGCTTTTGATTAGATTAGAGTAATCGTACAACGCAGTTTCTAATAAATTCAAATAAATATATAGCTTCATCGTGTCGTATGTGAAAGATAAACAACACTAATCCTTTGTCTGAAATAGGTATAGTTGAACTCACATATACATTCTCGAAGTTATGATATATTTCAACCGATGTAAAAAAATTTATTTACCAGAGGGAGATTTTGTACAAAAGTCGATTGCTTGGGTACCTCTGTTTCATTCGTGTTTCCACCGTGAAGCAGTTGTGTTTGCGTGGCTGTGTTTCGGCTTGAAGGATGGGATATGGCGTGAATTTACAAGGTACAGAGGAATAACACCTGAGTCCTCAAGAATGGCAACGCATGAGGGGTATCATGGGCGAAACAGTATACTCTGTTATGTATTACTCATGTCTATAGGCGATGGTTACCACTTTCCATCAGGTGGGCCGTTAGATTGTTTGCCATTCTAAGTTGTATATAAAAAAAGTTATGTGTGTAATATATAATATGTAATATATAATGTAACATATGTCTTTATAAATTCTGAGGGAGTTTTTTTTTTGTCGAGATTTTATTATTTTGTTGTTTTTACGTATACATTTCCACATACTACATAACTAATCTAGTCAATATTGAAATCGGTTTTTTGTAGAGAATCTTAAATTTTCTTCATAAGTTATTAATGACTTACGTATGTTTATATGTATTAAGCTATATATCAAGTCGCTATATGGAGACTGAGAATCCTATTGCTAGCAATATACCCAACCAGGTCGACCTCGCGGTTCTCCGTGGAAACTATCATAGTTAATTCCTGTCGAATTCATCATGATGGGCTAACTGGCCTGTTTTCATTCTCATCTATCACCCTTCACTGGTGCTCCGCCAGCGTATCCCGTTAGCGCAGGCGGGGTTACCGTACCATTTTCACCCATAAAAAAAAAACCCGACTTGTAGACAATGTACTTCAGTGATGGGAAACATAATTGACAAATTTAATTAATCCCACAGTATAAATCCCTGTACGAGTATATTTGCTCCATCAATTCGTCATAGTCGTAGAATACTGACGGATCTTTATATGTAATCTTTGTCAGATCCGTCAGTATTCTACGACTGTGACGAATTTGGATTCGAATAAACTCGTCGAAAGGTCCAATAACAATCCACGCAAATAATATCTTGCACTGCTTACGATTTCCTTCGAACAGTTATTGATCGAAAACTGCTTCTTCAACTTTTAGCAAAAAGGATTCTAATCCTAGTCTAACATTTAAAATCTATCTTGTTCTGTTTTACTAGTCTAAATTCACCACAAGAGAACACTTAATTTATTTGTCACAGTAATATAAAAAGGACTTCCTTATCCCAAATTTCATTTTTACTATTATATCGTATAATCTTAGATTATATAGATTATATATACAGTGTCTCCATAAAAATGCTTCAAGAAAAACGGGTCAACATTTTCATACAATTTTGCGTGATAAATAAATTTTTGTGTTTCCTTTAATACTTCTATTTTTATTTTGTTTTAATAATTTTTCCATGTTTTAAACTCTATTTATTTACTAAATAATTAAATATAGATACGTCAAGATACGTTATGTGCGTAAATATATAGAACACTAATTAAAAAAACCAGTCAGCTGACGATTAGCTGACAAAAAGTTAACCCGTTTTTTAGACTCTATACTCTATGTATATAATCTAAACGTATAATATTTATCGCGGCTTCGGCCGGTCATACATACTAGTATTAATTTTAATTTTCGAACTTTCACAGGAGCACGCATTCGAATCGAGTCAAAAATACAAAGAGGGCAAGTTCATAATCGAACTGGCACACATGGTGAAGGAGAACGGGTGGGACTAGACGAGCGGTCCGCGGCCGCTCGCCCGCCGCGCGGCCGGCGAGGCGGACGCGGCGCGCTGCGGGCCGCGCGCTGGCCGCGTCTAGCGAGCGGGCCGCGCTCGTGACGCCGAGCTGCTATGGCGCGACATACCACTACAGACTTTCCAATGCGTCAATTACACCGCTCGCAACACGAAGCGGCACAGTGGGTGAAACAGTTGGACAGATATGCACCATGAGTGTTCTTTCACGGCTATAACTAAAGGGGCTACGCCATCTTCTGTGTGAACGGAAAGATGAACGCTCGACGACGGCTGGAGCCTTCGTGATGAAGTGTCAGGCGAGACGTGTAAAGCTCGCCTTGTGTAATTGTGCCCTCGTGTGCAATGTGTTATGGACGTTCTCTCCACATCGAGGGCAATAACGTTAGGGTACCATCACGGATGCATAAATCGGGCGGGTTCGATAACTGTACTATTTTTATCAAACTAATATTATTATTGGAAGATTGAACATGGCCGATTTATTCAGCGTATGCTCGAGTGTTTCCGCGACAACCAAAGTGAGGGTATAGCCTTATGTGCTATTTACGTACTTTAGTCGGCTTCAGCGCTTGAGCACCGCCAGTCAACGCATGTTATTATTGTTATAGATAAGGTACCGATCTCAACCGCCCCCACTGCTGGGGCTTATGGGCTTAGAATTTATACTAATTTTAATTTGAAACGATTTAATTTTGGCGCACGCTACGCGCCTAGGCGGCGGGCGTTAGTACATCGTAAGCTCTTAGAATTTTTTTTTATATTATGTACTATGCAATGTACTGTATTGAGAGAACACTAATACTTTCTCTTGTCCCCTTTAACCTGTGATAAGTATGTTAGTATAGAATTTTTGAATTTCTTGAACGATATTTTCAAGAAGTTGCTCAGAGACGTCATATGTATGTTCCTAATGATTTCAGCTGTACAATGCTTTTATTTTTTATTTTGAGGTAACTAGTCGAAACGTGATTACGTTCTGAGGAGATTGTTTGAATTTTATTTTGCGCCTGATATATTCTTTTTTTTTTAGTTTAGTTTAATTGAACATTTCGACTGTTCCTCTCGAACTCTGGACCTCCGGTACAGTTTGAATCGAAATTTTAGTTGCGTATTACTTGGGCACGCGCATTAGTTGATAATTTGTCTAGAGTGGAGAATTTCTATGGACATATATTTGAACGATGGAAGGAGTATCGGACAGTTTTATTATTCATTTATTGTTTCCATTAAAATGTAATAATTATTAGAATATTTACCCATATATTTTAACCGCATGGTACTTCATTTGTAATCGTAAAAGTATGTTAATGAATTGCATGAGCTTTCACTATTTATGTATGTGAATAAGTGGAGCCGTCGTGGCCACGTCGTACCAAGTGATTCTGTTCCCCGTATATGGTACACAGAGAATTTAATGAACGTCCGATTTCGATATGGAATACATTTTTATCGTATTCTCTTATCTACTACGCAATGAAGAACTTCTGCCGTCGCATACTACTTTATCAAGAGCGTAAATAACTGCCACTAGCATATATATACGTTTGTAATATACATAAATGTAATACAAATTCATCGTAAGTGACGATCGTTTGATGTTGACAAATGTTTATTTTTACAATAATAAATCGTAGAAGTGCTACATTTGAATTTGTTTAGGTTGTAAGACATTCGTCTGTGTAATATGTTTAGTCTTACTCCGGTTTTTGATTCTCATCTACAAGGCGTTTGTTATACCAACAAGGGAATGGATGTGTTGTGCATGCATTTCGCTTGTGTGAACATCAAACTGACAGTAGTTGCGGCCGGAAAACCGGACATAAAAGACGTATTTGTGACATTGAGACGGGCGGTTCGAATGTAAAAAAGAAAAAGAAATTCTTGTCTATGGTACTCAAAAGTTGGGGGTGTTATTTTTGTGATATATTTTTTCTACAATAATACCTACATAGGAGAATTCTCTATTATCTACGTACACAAGATCTCAAATTTAAATACTTAATATCAAAGATAATATACAAAGATTGAGCGCACCCCTTCGTTGACAAGTAACGAATGAATTTTCGTGTACGACATTACGTGTGACGAAGCAGATACGTCTTTTTTTTTAATACTATATTCTGTGTAATATGATAAGGTTAATCGATAAAACGCATTGCAAGTTCACTTGTCTGTTTAATGTAATCGTATTAACTGTTATCATAGGGTTAAAATGTTAAGAATTACTGATGCACAATGTTCAATGAAAATTATCAAAGAACCTCGACACGAATTAAAATAAAAAAAAAAACCGCTCTATAGAATAAACCTAATCAATGTAAAACAGTTTTTTTTTTTAATGTTTATGGTACATGACTCTTCTAATCTCCAACAAATTACGTGCAAATAGAATTGTTATGTTTTAATATGTATTTATACTGACGAGCGTTTACGGTAATCGACGGTAACCGCAAATATGTCATTTGCTAACGACAATTTGTCGTTATCGAGTGTCGACAACGAACCGCCTCATGCCGCCGGCGTTTATCGACAGCAGCGTAAACGCTCGTTTGCAAAAACACTAAAATCGTCATAGTCGTAGAATACTGACGGATCTATATATGTAATATTTGTCAGATCCGTCAGTATTCTACGACTATGACGAAATAATGGCGGTTCCAAACATGTCTGATCTTTGTATAAAATATGCTATATGTGCTGTAATGGAAGGTCATATGCAAATATATATATATATATATATATATATATATATATATATATATATATATATATATATATATATATATATATATATATATATATATATATATATATATATATGTAATACAAATTAAATATTTCGTAATATTTCGAATACTGTATCATTTTATATCAAAGAGTACACATATAGATGGGAGGTCTTTCGTTAAAATTGATGTGAAATATTTCCATAAACATTTGTAGGAACATGTATATTAGTTTGTACATGTCTATATAGATAGGTGTCTGGACCGCATTAATATAATTACGTCAATGAGTTTAGTGTGGTACTCGTCTCGGACGCATTACGAACGATTGAGAAATATTCATTTTCATCATGAACATTATGCAACATAATAATCAATACTTATTGAGATTGTCACAGTAGTTTAGATTTAACACTCTTAGACCTACGATTTATCTTGATCTTTGATGCCGTTCGACTTGACACAAATGTTATACAAAATAAAATATCTTGATAATAATGTGAGATGAAATATTTAAAAAAAAAAATAGCTAGATTTCTGTGAGGCATAATTAAAGTATTTTTCTACTTGATCGTTTAGGGATGCTGTTAGATATTTTTGGACCATTGTTAAGATAAAACTATGATCAGTATTCACGGGATGAGCATAAAGAATAAAATGTTAGTTTTCTTGGATGTCGGTTTGCGACTGTTGTTGAGATTAGACAGAAAAACGCTTCTCTAGCTCTATAATATGCACCGTACACTTACAACTGTAACTCCCTGTTGTTTCTGCGGCGATGGACTTCTATTGATTATTTGTATCTATCTTAACATTCCATTTTCAAATTTCATGCAAATTGTAATTTTAAAAAGAAGAAAATTATATTTTTTTTAATTTATTTTTTTCTAAATATACATTCATTGTTCAGCGCCATCTCGTGGAAACATCAGGACAGACATGGTCTTGGAGTGTTAACTGACGACCAAGATGACAGCATATATATGTATATGAATGGTGCATTTCAGTACATGTACTTTTCGCATATTTTAAAATATAAGGTATCCCGTTAGGTGTTTACCAAGAAACCGCTTAATATTTTTGTATTTTCCTAGTATATAACGAAGCATTATAAATTCGTGGTGTCTTCTAACGATTGTGTATGCATTATGCTATAGATGAGTATTTCATAAACATTTGGTTGAAATAATAAGTGCGTAATAAAACACTTTTCGTATTAAAAACCTTGTATTTTTTTATACCCTCAATACAACTGTAATAAGTAAAATTTCTTTTAAGTTAAAAATAGAGTTAAACCAAGTACGATAATATACATATATGTATGTATATTTGTATTGGCTCACTTACCTAATGGAAAGTGGTAACCGTCGCCTATAGACATGAAGAGAACCATGGATATAACAGAGTATACTGTTTCGCTCATTATACCCCAATGACAACGTATATATATATATATATATATATATATATATATATATATATATATATATATATATATATTCCTGAGGATTGAGGAGCCTCTATACCCTCTAAGTATAGTTATATCACCAAGTACCCAATATACAAACTGCTTATGTAAGACAATCAGTTCCCTCCTACACTAGAGACTTTATATTTCGGAGAAAAAAAAAATCTTTGTGCCCAATACAATTGAGTTAGAAGAATGGATCATCTAAATATAATTATTTTGCTTATCAATTTTTAACCCTAAATTAGACTTGGATACTTCAAGTGGAAATCGATTTGAACTTCCCAGATGGGTAATAAAAATAATAAATTACAAGGACAGCCAAAAAGCTTGCCTTGTTATAATCATATATCGTCATAGTCGTAGAATACTGACTGATCTTTATATGTAACCTTTGTCAGATCCGTCAGTATTCTACGACTATGACGATTTATTTGATATAACAATATACCACTCTCCTCACCCTCCCCAAAAGTGTGCTTTATTACTTACCAAGTAAGTAACATGTGTATCGAGTTCTTTAAATATATTATATAAATTAAATAAAACAAATATTTAAATTGATCTTTCTGGATGTATTTCATTCAACACTTTAAAGGAAATTAAGATAAATAAATTATAACAAATTGTAGTTTGCTTATGCACCAGTAAACTAAATTTATAAATACCTATAAATGGCGATCTACAAAGAAGCTGTTAGACAATGTTGTTTTTATGACACATTTCGAGAACATATATATTTTACTTTTCTATACTCGACTCAAAAAATCTTAGCATATCTTCATTGAAATAACAATGCATAAACAAATAAACATATTATATTTATTTATATTATTGCATTCTAGTATTTGTTAATTTGTAAATTTGTCAAATAGCTTGATAAAGTTGTTTTTTATTGGGCTATGTATAGGAAAGTAAGAATAAGTAAGTAAGAATAAATAAGTCCGTTAAATGTTCAGAAAACTACAAAAACTAATATTTTGTCAAGGATATGGAACGATATTCTATATCTTTAACCGTATTGAAAAAAAAATAAGAATATTAGTAATAATTTGGATTTTAATTAATAGAACTCCTTCTATATTTGAATACAGAGTGAAAATGAAATCAAATTTATGACGTTTAGCTGCCTTTCATTTTATAGGCCTCAAATATGTTAGTACATATTACACAATACAATGTTAAGTCATAACATTGCTACCGAGGGGAAGAGCGTAGTTACTAATGGGGTTTTACAGCCCCATTTGCTAGTAAGTTGACTTTCCCAGAAACCAGGCTGACCTGGCCCTCGTAGACAAGTGACAACCGAATTAGTCGCTAGAATCGACATAGCTAGCGAGTCCGTGAGATAGAATGAAATAGCAATGTCGGATGTTCCATTCTAACTCACGGATTCACTAGCAATATCGATTCCATCGACGAATTCGCTTGCCACTTGTCTAGAGGGCCTGATATCTCACATATTGTTCTTTACTGGTACCCCGACAGCGTATAATTAAATTTTAAAATCAAATATACAAAGTTATTAGTACAGTTACCGCCACACTGGTTAACAGTTTATTCATTATAAATTTTTTTAATAAAAAAAAATATGTACATATATATATATATATATATATATATATATATATATATATATATATATATATATATTTCAGTTACACACGTACCAATAGTGTAAGCAAGGTTACCATTGTATTCATTAAAAAAAAAAACCTGATGCATCTCAGATTATAAGTTAATATGTATGTATTATAAGAAAGTATGTGATGTGATATTGTGATGCACAATGCTTGTATCACAGCTTTTACATTTGACACATATAGTCTTGCTACACACACCAACTGAAACTTGTTCTGTCAGTGCTTTGTCTTTATTATACTGCACAATAAAAACTAGATAACAAATTCCTAACTAAATTTGTTAAGGGCACAAGGAATAACAAGAAAAAGTATAAAAAGTCTTAATCCAAGTACCATTTGTAACTGAAGAATTTTTCTCAAAGGGCATATTAGACTTGTTACAAATATAATTATGATCATTTATGTATATTTTAGTTCAATTCCAATATATCCTGCGCTTCGTAGCATGGTTCGTTGGAGGGCTAACAATTTATGGCATTTTCTACTATATTTTTGAATTCAATTCAATTTATTTATTGCATTCTACAATATTATTATAAAAGACGTTAGTAATTGGTATAGTATATTGTAGACCCTGTAGGGCACAGCAATTAAAAGCGAGGAGGGCGTCGATCCATAAATTTTCATAAAATTGAAATCAATGTCAAACTAAAAATCGTAACTGATATTTGTTCACAATGTTTTATTGAATCAATAAAGATTTTGGGGGAAGGGGGGAAAGGGATTGTTAGTAATGGAGACTGAGAATCCCATTGTTAGCAATATACCCAACCAGGTCGACCTCCTCGCGGTTCCACCTGGAAACTATCATGGTTAATTCCTGATGAATTCATCATGATGGGCTAACTGGTCTGTTTTCATTCTCATCTATCACCCTTCACTGGTGCTCCGCCAGCATATCCCGTTAGCGCAGGTGGGGTTACCATACCATTTTCACACATCAAAAAAAAAAATTTGGTATTTTTTTCTATAGATTTAATGTCCTGTCACTTGCACCTTAATGCATATACTATATAAAGTATTCCCACAGAGTGTAAATATATATTGACATATAATTTTTTTTTTTAATTTTTGGCTTTTAAAAAATTAATAATACATTTTTTTTTTATAGTTCCTTGGAGAAATTGTACAATTACATTATTACTCTTGGATTTCGGCTTAATGTACTCAAACTTTTACACCTGTATCTATCTATATTCAGTCAGTTGACTGAATAGTAGGACTAGGAGAGTTCTATACAAATGACAAACGAATAGACAAGTTTTTGTTATAATATTCGTATGAAAGAACATGCATGCATGCATGCCGCATGCGGCAGCGAAAACGTATCTATCTGTTGTTTTTCTGTTTACTTGACACAATTGTTTTGTTTTTATTTTAAAACTTTTTGGGTCATTTTTAAAACTTTATGTATAATATTATCATGTGTAATAATGTGCTATTGTCCTTAATAAATAAATAAATAACTAATTTAAAAATGAATTTATGTAAAACACTTTTTGTGTTTTCTTTTTAAATTATTACATTTGATAAAAAGACATATTTAAATTGTTAAATAATGTGTAAAATAAAAAATAAAAAAACAATAAATTCGTTTGTAATTTATGTAGAATGCAGGGAATAGATTAATAAAAAATGTAGGGTAAGCAGGTTATATATATATATATATATATATATATATATATATATATATATATATATATATATATATATATATATAATGCTCTATGACGCCTTATTATTTTTCTTTCGGTTTTTTCTCCTTTCCCTATCGTCTTCATTCTGCATACCATCCTTTATTTTGGTGAATATGTAAGACACCGGACATGTCAGTGACGTCATTACATCGTTTAAGTTTCTCCGTTGAATCAAACCTGTCTGCTCGTCTAAAATCTCTTCATCTTTGTCTACAGGTTCTATTAAATTAATTTTAGTTGTGGGCGCGTTAGGTTGCACTAATTGAGAGTCGGGTAGCGATGGTAGTTGCTTGAAAAACATCTGCAAAAAAAACACATTGTAATATTAACAATTTGGATAATCAGAGAATCGACTAGAAAGACCTAGAAGAGACCTTATCTAACAAGCGGTAATGGGGGAAAGGTATTGTAGGTAATGGGTCTAACAGCATCACTGCAGGGGGAGAAGGGGGGGGGGGGGAGAAGGGATTATTAGTAATACGGTTTACCAATCTCATTGTCAGCAATATACCTATCTTTTCATTCTCACCTATCCACATATACCGTTAGCGCAGGCGGAGACAACATTCCATTGTAACCAGTAAAAAAACAATATCACTGCTAGCAATATACTCTTATCAGGTGGACCTCCACGTGGAAACCATCGTGGTAAATTTTTTATGAATTGCTCACGATGGGCCAATATCATTACTTATTAGTGTCCTCTGCCAGTGTATACCGATAGCGCAAGAGAGGTGACAATTTCGTTATCACAGCATAAAAAACTGGCAATATAGAAAAAAGAATGAGCATCAATAAACTAAAACAATATTTTTACCTATAACATTTAAGCCTAATGGTACACATGTATGACTGTAACTACTAATACACTGTCAGTTTTCTCATATTGAGTTTGCTGGAAGAAATCTCTATTGGAGATAAGCTCGCCTTTGTGCGCTATCATGTTTGTTTTTCCATTTCAATAGCCTTTTGTGTACAATAAAGAATAGAGAAAGAATAAAAAAAAAATGTTTTTACACAAAAAAGGAGAAATGGACTTTAATCTCATCACTGGTTAAATGAAATCTGGTATCTCCTGAACTTCCCTGGTGAGGACTGTGCTGATGCAAAAAAAAAACGTAAAATTTGTACATGCTACTAACAACGCACGAGTGACGCCTCTAATGATAGAAACGTAGTTACTACTATCAATACTCCAGTACATCATTTCCATGCTTTTTTTTATAACAGCTCGATATGTGATGGTGTAACAAACCCTACAGAAGCAAGATTCGGTACACAATCCATGATCAGAATCAAGAAATAGGATGTTTAGATAGATAATTTATTTACATTACTTACAGCACACAAATTACAATAAAAAAACATACACATAATACACAGTAAAAGAGACAAAAGAATAAAAATAGAAAAGCACAAAACAATAAAAAAAATATATATATATAAACTAACAATTTCCTTTCTTTCCCTTCCTTCATGCGTGTGCCATAGTAACACAAAATGGTCACAACTCAGTTTATTGCTTTGCCCTTAAAAGAGCAAAACACTGATATTCTGCTGTGGCCGTGGCTGTGGCTTTGTCACTTTTATTGATAAAACTTAGGGTACAATCATGCAAATATCTAAGTAACCTAAATAACACAAAATCAACTCACCCTGCGTGTCATCAAAACCATCCCGTGCACTTTTCTCATATGATTTTTCAATACTGACATACGTGGATATCTGAAAAAAAAATTCATATCTTACTACTTTTTTTAAAACGTTTATAAATGTCCCATTCGTGTTTCAACCGTGAAGCAGTTGTGTTTGCATGGCTGTGTTTTGGTTTGAAGGGTGGGCTGTGGTGTGATTTTAAAGGGTACAGAGAAATAACACCTTAGTCCTCAGGAATGGTAATGCATAGGGGGTATTATGGACGAAACAGTATATGTTATGTTATGTTTACAGCTCATGTCTATAGGCGACGGTTACCACCTTTCATCAGGTGGGCCGTCCATATATAACCGTATATAACCTACATGTGCGTCAAATTTCATTTAAATCCTTTCAGCCATACAGTTTGACCTCCTGGGACATGCTGGCAGGAGTTACTTCCTGGGACGGAGCTGGCAGGAGTCTGTTAGTCAGTATATATCCTTCTGATATAATTGATAGGAGACAATATTACTCAATTTACCTTCTAGGACAAAGCTGGCAGGCGCAGGGTGGCGGCAGCCGCAGGTGCTCCCGGCGCTGGTGCAGCTGCAGCGCCGCGCGAGTCGCGTATCGCCGCGGACAAGCGTCACACGCGAACCGGGGCTCCGCTGCGTACACAATTTATATATCTTTACAATTTGTTGTAGACAATAACAAAGTAGGGGGAGAAGAAATTGGACTAGCCCCGTTGCTAGCAAATTTCTCATCTTAGTTCGACCTGTATGCAGTTGCCCATGATAATTATTGCAGTTAGGGGGGAAAGGGATTGTTAGTAATGGAGACTGAGAATCCCATTATTAGCAATATACCCAACCAGGTCGACCTCCTGACGGTTCCCCCTGGAAACTATCATGGTTAATTCCTAAGGAATTCATCATGATGGGCTAACTGGCCTGTTTACATTCTCATCAATCACCCTTCACTGGTACTCCGCCAGCGTATTCCGTTAGCGCAGGCGAGGTTACCATTCCACTTACACCCATCAAAATAAAAAAATAAAAAATATTGCGGATAATTCTTGATGAATTAATTACGATAGGCCAACTGACCTGCTTGCATCCTCACCTATCATCCCTCACTGTTGTCCCGCCAGTGTATACCAATAGCGCAAACGTGGTAACCATTCCTGTATCACTTGTGAAAAACAAGAAAGTGTTGTTAAGCCTAGTGACAATTTATGACAAACGGATGTCTTATAATAGAATATTCAATTGTCTATTACACCTCATGCGTTGCTATTTTTGAGAATAAGTCTGGATACACACTTATAACTTGGAGTCATTAATTTAATACTAGAAACTTTTAAAAAAAAAAAAAAACCTCTACTTTTACTTTACATTTATTCATATATTGTACAGTGCATTTATATACTTTTAAACGAATCCCAATAACTCAACCAACGAGTACAACTAGTCAGTCATGAGGCTGTATATCCCCAAGTTAAGCGTTAAGACCATGCACAACCGCGAGATTGACAGCCTCAGGACATATTTTCTGGAGAAAAGAGACATCATAGAATGTGACAAAGGATTATTCAATTCAAAGCCCTTCATATTTACAGTGGTGATCTCTTCGGATTTATCTGTGCAATACTCAGGTTTAAGACGAACAATTACCCAATTCTGAAGGATGGCACATCTGTCGAACGCCATCCCGGAGAGTCACTCAGACAACAACACTGAGTCTCCAAGTCCTCCATCATTTGCCGTACTTCTCTCAGTATTGCGAACAAACCTGATATCGTGGTGATGGATATTATTTTATCGTGAATATCTCAGTTAACTGTCCACTGCTGGACATAATCTTTCTCCATAAGGAATTTTACCAGTAGTTGCCACGCATGGCAGGCGGATTGGCAACTGCAGTTAGGCTTTAGAGATGTTTTAAGAGGGACGCTCCTGCCAATCCCTCACCCTCCCTTAGTCGACTCTTACAACACCCACGGGATAGGAAGGGGTGGCCTATTCTATGCCGGGACCACACGGTATAGAATACTTACATAGAAACACGGCATAAGCAACTTGTTATTACAAATTAAATACAAAATCATTATAATATAATAGCAGGGGGCAAAGGGATTGTTGGCAATGGAGTTTGATAGCCCCATTGCCAGCAATATGCCCTATTAGGTTGACCTCCACGTGGTTCCCCCTGGAACCCATCGTGAACAATTCTTGTTGAATTCGTCACGATGGGCTAACTGCTTCATCCTCACCTATCATCCTTCACTGGTGCCCCGCCGGTGTATACCGATAGCACCTGTGGGGTTACCATTCCATTATCACCCATTAAAAAATATAAATATAATAGCAATACATACGTAGATGAGTATCCATGTGTGTGACAAGATTAGTTTTCGATACAAACTCTCGTTTACAGTGATCGCATATAAACTTGATGTTGCTATGCTTCGCTTCGTGGCGCTGCAATCAATTTATAACATTATACTTATTAACTTTTTGTTTTTTTTTTATACAACTTACAATGGCAAACGAGCTGACAGGCCCACCTGATGGAAAGTGGTAACCGTCGCCTACAGACATGTGCAGTACACATGCACATAACAGAGTATATTGTTTCGCCCATGACACCTCCTATGCGTTGCCATTCCTGAGGACTCAGGTGTTATTCCTCCGTACCCAGTAATTCCACGCCATATCCCATCCTTCAAACCGAAACACAGCTATGCAAACACAACTGCTTCACGGTTGAAACACAAATGGGACAGAGGTACCCAAGCAATCGACTTTTGTACAAAGTCTCCCTCTGTAATTGTTTCATAACTGTAAAAAGTACTACTGAGTTTAGAACCTCTTTTTTTCTTTAAGCTCACTTAACATTCACTGTAAATATCGGACACGCTCAAATAACTTTCCTTTTTTTTTTTGTTTTTTCTCTCCTTTTTACGGCCACCCACCCCTCACTAGTTAATCGTCAGATTAATATCTACCGGCTTTTTTTTTTACATATTTGAAAAATCTCTCACGCTCTTCCCCCCCCCCCCCCTCGAAATGTAAACTTCACATAGATTTTTTCCGTTTTAGAACCTAATCTTCACAATTCAATAGGTGACCATGACGCTTCAGTAACTACAAATATAGCATTCCAGGCTCCCCTACTATAACCATGAGCTGATTGTTTGCAGAAGTCGGATTATCCTTCTTACGTAGAATCAGTCTCGTTTATTTTTCATCACTTTTTAATATAGTAAGTCCCAGATTTAATGGCGTTTGAGCGTTTTTTTTATTACTGTAAATTCAGGTAAAGCAAAAAAAAAGCCTACCCTTAGAGCAGATACGCTTGTGTACGCAGCAGGGCAGGCGTGACAACGGTACGGCCGCTCGCCGCGATGTAAATACTCGTGCGACCTCAAGTTGTATTTGCTGTTGAACACCGCTGAACACAACTCACATGGGTATCTGTACACCATAGATATAACTATAAGTATTACAGAACTTCAAAGTCACAAAAATCAAGCGTCACATTTAGCGGATCTTCCATCGACGGAAAATCGGCGAGCAAACCGCGGCGGTCCGTTTATGGAATGCTCGAGTTGAGTGAGTTGAGTGCGACCAATATTAGTAAATGGTATGTAATTTAATAGAACAATTGTACATTAGACCGAACTTCCGTCTGCGATGATACGCCAATATAGAGGGGGAAAGGGATTGTTAGTAATGGAGACTAAGAATCCTATTGCTAGCAATATACCCAACCAGGTGGACCTCCACGCGATTCCACCTGGAAACTATCATGGTTAATTTTTGATGAATTCATCATGATCGGCTAACTGGCCCGTTTTTATTCTCATCTATCACCCTTCACTGGTGCTCCGCCAGCGTATACCGTTAGCACAAGCGGGGCAGCCATTCCATTTTCACCCATCAAAAAAAAAAGACACGCCAATATAACAATTGCATACAACTAGCTAATCTCGATCACACTACACGATTATTGGTCATTACGTCGACGTAACACTGTAGAACGTCGCCGGCACGCCAATCTTTGGTCGACGGAAGATCGGCAACACAACTTGCGTCGATTTAAAATTAATATAAATGAAACAAGAATAAAGATAGAAATTTACTTACCGTGTTTTATTCTGCTGCCTGCGGAAAAATATAAATTGAAAATTTAAAATGATAATGATTATTAAATTGCGTTATACTACAATCAAATTGTAAAGGTAAGTTTATTACCGAAGACTAAATGGCTAGAAAGAATACAATTTGAGATACTTTTATTTTTTTTTCCTATAATAGACTTAATAAACTTTCTATGTATTCGTCCTGCATATAAATTCATCTATGTATACATAGAAAAACAAAAATATTTAACAATTGCTTACAAATGAATGATACATACGCTTTTTTATCGTATTTTGGCATGAACGGACGACTGCGCCCCTTACGGCCGAGGGTAAGCGCGCGAGCTTTTAACACGACGGTAGCGTCTGGTGCTGGACACAGTTTCTCGTGTTTGTATAAATTTGTTGTGCTGAATTAATAATGAATTATGTCAATATATGTATATTGCCTTATTGTATTGTAAATATCTTTATTGTACATAATTTATATTGGACGCATTAAAAGATTTAATACATAATACACAATACATAATACAGCTAAAGATAAACTTAATAATAAATAGTAAAAATTTAACATATAATACAATAAATAAATAATAATAAACCTACACACATAAATACATATATAATATATATTTACAATTGGTTATGTAAGTTTTCTACATTATTAATAATAGAAAATAATATATTATACATAAAAGTGTTCTAATGCGAGAAAGAGGAGTGGGGAGTTGTCACGCCATCTGTGATACCTTTTAACGAAACCCCGTCGGCATGGAGCCCGCTTCCGTTGAAGAGCAGCGCGTCGTAATCAAGTTTCTCTCGAAACTCGGCAAGAAGAAAGCAAAGAGTGGAAGACATCCGGGGAACCACGAACAAAAAAATCAAGAAAATCCCGCTCAAATGTCAAGACAATGTTGAATGTTCGGGGATTGTCCATCAAGAATAATGGAAAATTCTATCATTAGTACATATACATTCTTCACCACGACAATGCCCCTGCCCACACCTCTCTTGTTGTCCGTGAGTTTTTGCTTTACGGTGACCGAACACCCCCCTATTCGCCGGATTTGGCCCCGTTTTCTTCTTGTTCCCAAAAACCAAATTGGTACTTCGCGGGGGACATAGACATAAAAAAAGTAACAATGAAATGCCAAATACTTCCATTCACACAGTCAATTTTTTGATTTACCTGAATAATTTATAAAATTTTTAAAAAACAACTTAGAAATGTTGTTATAATTTATAATGATAAAATCATTAGCCCACCAATGATGGAACACAGTTGTTTTGTTTTATACAACTTAGAATGGCAAACAACCTGATAGACCACCTGATGGAAAGTGGTAACCGTCGCCTATAGACATGAGCAGTACCATGGACATAACAGAGTATACTGTTTCGCCCATGATACCTCCCATGCGTTACCATTCCTGAGGACTCAATGTTATTCCTCTGTACCCAGTAAATTCACACCATATCCCACCCTTCAAACCGAAACACAGTCATGCAAACACAACTGCTTCACAGTTGAAACATGAATGGGACAGAAATACCCAAGCAATCGACTTTTGTACAAAGTCTCCCTCTGGTGGAATTATACAAGTAATAATAACAATACTCATACTTATGCAAATAATGGACTAGTTGATTGTAAGAATCTTTGCACTTACTTGAAGCTCTTAAATATAGGTCTAATATATAATTCTATTTACCTAAAATAGAAGGGGATGTCAATTCATATACAGTATTATATATTTAAGTTTTTAAATATTTATTTTTAATTAAGTTGCAGTTTAATAAAAAACATACCTTCTGAACGTCATGCCACAAGCAAAGCAGGTGAGGTAACGTTTCCCATGCTTTTCTTGATAGTGAAGCCAGGCGGCAGGGTTTGTCTTTGTGCGAGCACCACAAAATACGCACCTGAAAATATACAGAATACAGTGCAGACAGTCAGTTTTTATCTATCAACAAAATACTTATTTATTTTATTTAAACTTCTATGTACATATATGTAATATAAGTAAGTATACATATGGCAGACTTAACACCTAATAGCGTTCTCTACTAGTCAACCATGAAGAAAGCCGAAAATTTTGTAGGCGGTGCATTTAAAATTGGCTATATTTGACATTACAGTCAAAAAATAAATTATACAGAAATTAATGAATTTTTGTACGTGAACAGGTACACATGTTTTTTTAATTGCTCTGTCTAGAAGAAAAAAAAATACATAGAGTAGCAGTTTAAGCATGCAACAATTACGCAACCACTTATCATTATTAGTGGTTACATAATTATTGCATACTTAAACTACTAAACATATTTAAATAAAATATGGAACATATTATAACACCACAATTACCACATAGGATATGAACTTTTTTTTATGTATTTTATAAAAAAATATCCCACCATATTCCACCCTTCAAACTGAAACACAGCCATGCAAACACAACTGCTACACGATAGAAACACAAATGGGACAGAGGTGCACAAGCAAACGACTTTTGTACAAAGTCTCCCTCTGGTAAATGACATGAAAAATGGCAAATGACATAAATGGTATGTGTTAATGACGTGGTCCATATTTTTTTATCCAATTCAAGTCTGCAAGGCAACTAGTACTATATTTATTACTAATATTAATAAGTCTAAATTAATATATTATTTATATCTACTTATTTATTGAAAAACCAACAGCTTAGAATTTAAAGCTTAAAATAAAAATATCTACATATACAAATGCAATAACAAACTTTCACTAACTTAGCAATATAATTAGTTATTAAAGCAAGTAGTCAGGAAATCAAAAAGATAAGTTTTTTTTTTTTTTTAATTATAGATAAAATAAAAAAATACATTACTGATTTAAAAAAAAAAATTATTCAGTCATAGAAAACTACATTATGAAAGGGTAAAATGGAGTATATTTTATTAAGAAAATTTAGAGATCTCTACACTACTTACCCGTACAAAGCCAGGGTGGGTTGCTAGTATTATATCTATTTATAAATTTATTACAAATCTTATATTTTTACTTACTCATAAAGGTCTTTTTTCATTACATAGTAATTTGAAGGTGGTGGTGGTCTTTTAATTCCTTTCATAACTTCCACCAAAGCATTCACTAACTTAGTCGAGTCTTGTTTGAGCTCTGGATTTTTATGTCTTAAAACATCTACAAATGATATCCACTGTTCTGGTTTCAAAACACGTACTATACTTTCTTTTTTATTAAATCCTTCAAATGTTCTGATGTTGTCATCAGATATAACATCATCACTTTCCACATACTCTACTTCAGGGGAATATTCCTCATCGCTATGAGTACCACCACCTTGGTCAGGATCTGCATCATCCTCCTGTTCACCTGTGTTGTAACTCTCTTCAGGATGAAGATCTTCCTGTTTTACTGCGTTTTCGTTACAATTTTCTATTAATTCTAGTTTAATTTGAACTTCATTAATACGATTTGTATTAGAATTATCAGGCAAAATATATTCTACCTGCCCATACCTTAATGCCATTTGTAAAATATCAGTATCAACTTTTTTTTCGGTATCTTCATCCAAAGGTTCTTCTTTAACTTCAAAATTCATCAGAAATTTTGTATTTTCACTCCTAGATTCTAAATCATCATAATCATCGTCGACGATTATAACAAACATTTCATCGTCTGATGCCATTTTACTTGTTATTTTCTTTGAGATACAGCAGCTAAACAACTTCTTTATATATATATATATCTTATTTTAGGTAAGTATCAGGCACAATATTACTATCAATAAAATGAAACTAAAATCATATCAAGAACAAATACCACCCGCCATTTTAATTTTTTTCACATAACGAGCGAAAAGGAAGCAAAGCAAAGTTATCATCCATTTATATTTAACCGGTCAAAAATATATATCTACCTAGTTCAATACTAATAAAAATAAATTGAACACCACTAAATATTATAGCAATTTGAATTGAAATAAATATTTCCTTTTTGCGAAATAAAGAATTAGACTATGAATATGGTAGTAAAAATAAATTATAGCTTGCGTGCTGTCATGTCATTCGTCAAAAAATTTTCCTTTGCTTCATTTAATTTACAGCGTATCTTTTTATATATCATGTACTCTGTATGACTGGATGAATATTTCTCATTCTTTATGCACTACTAAATTTAGCATAAGAAAGAAAGAGATAACCAATTTTGCCCAGGTTTTTTCCACACTGTCGTTTCTGCAATGAAATTTACTCTGTAGGACTGTCATTCACTATGTCATCGTATGTCATTAATTTTCTTTTCGTAATTTTATTTGTTTATTTCATGTTCTTTTATTGACTTTTTATTTAGGTTTTATATTACTTGCTTGTAAAGTTTGATTAAATAAATGTTATACAATTTTGGCAGTTTTAGGAATTGTTAGAAGGCTATCTGCTAAAATAATGGCTTCGATTATAACCATACTGGAAACAAATTTGCAACAAAGTTTAACACACTGCAAAGGTATGAGGAAATAGACAATTTGTAATGTTTGTAAAATGCAACATTTTACTACTGCTATATTGGTTCAGAATGTGGAAGTTAGATGATACAAATCAATGGAAAGATACAGCATCCGGAGGAGACAAACTAACTTATAAGAATATAGACTGTAATATAGAGAGAGAGAAGTTCTCCGAAATCTCCGAAATTGCATGTACGCATGTAACAAGTTATAAAAGTAGATAAAGCACTTGCTTTATCCATGTATATAAAGATAGAAGCATCTGGTATATAGATTTCTTTTTTCTATTCTTCAAAAGATTTAACATGAATATAATTTTTAAACTTATTTGACCTAGTTATAAAACATATATTCTTAAAAACTTGATTTTTAAAATTGATGGCTTACTTGATGGAAAATGAGTAAACTTTACAATTCTAACATATTTTGTTTTATCATAATTCATGAATATCTATTCCTTTGTTAAATTACATGTTTCAATAAGGTACTGATATCCAAACAATATTAAAATACTATGACTTAGTCATTTTATACATAATATGTCAAAATAATTGTCATCAGTGGCTAAATTAAATGTCCATTATTAACTTAAGTAGTTAAGGTAAATTCAAAATTAACATTAATAAAAACAAAATATTGCACTCAATAAAATGTTGCATACACATACTACTTTAATATATTATTGTTAACCACTATTATGATTCTGATATTTGTCTATGATATAAAATGGTTTCACATTAAGCCAGTTATTTAATTGTTACTACAACTGTCTGACATCACAATCCTTAATTGGCAGTTTACATAAAAATTTTTTAAATCATGTTGTGTTAGAACACCTACCTGTAGACCACCTACAATTAATTTATCTGGATTTTGAGTATTTCTTAGTTATTTTTTACTAGTGTATATAAAAACTTTTTAAAAAAGTAATTTTACAAAATTACAAATATCAAAAACATAAAGAGGTGGTAATAGTAAATGAAACTTTTTAAATATAGATATCTATTAATAACTTTTAGAGATACGAAATTACAAGTTAAAATTTATATTTTGAATTCAAATTTTGTTCTTCCCCTTTTTTTTCCAAGACTTATATGTTAATTTTAAGCACTTATTTACATCAATTTTTTAAACCTTTCAAATTCTGTAAGCTGATAACTAGAGAGGAGAATTATTAGTAATGAGGTCTGGCAGCCCTTATATTGAAATCTTTAGCATTCTTTTAAGTCTACTATTAAAAATAAACATTTTTCCCAAAGTAACATGGGCAGAAAAATGCCAAAAAGAGCCTGTAGTACTAGCATGACAGGTTACCATTCTATGTTAGTATGGGAGGCTCTAAATACTTTTTTAATTTTTCACATAACAGCTAATTAATTAATAAATAAATATTTTTTTGTCTTTCAGAACTTTTTCTCGAATTTGAACAGTTAAATAATTATAAAATCCAATTCATAGAGCAAAAAGTAAAATGTGAAAGGTAATTATGTAAAAAAATCTACTACGACATTAATGTAGTATTATATTGTGTTAAAATAACAACTAAAAAGAACAGTTAAATAAATTATATTTTAATTTTATTTTCAGTAATAACTGTAGCAGTTCTGAATCTCTTAAAAAAATCATTGCATCAAAGGACAAAATTATCCAATCCGTTGGTAAGTTTCAATATAATAATTTATATAGATGTATGTGAAAATATCTTTGTCTACATTTATTATCAAAATTGAACATATGAATGGATGAAAATGATATATCACATTTCAGATTGATACAGAGGTGTTATGGGCATACTAATCACAATAAGTTATTGTAATCAAATGTAAGTTATGTTAGTATACACATAACACCTTCATCTATGCATAGAATAAGGAATATCTAAAAATGCAACATATCACCTTCATTCATACATGTCTTCAATTATCATCAGCATTATATCAGCCATTAATTGCCCACTGCTGAACATAGACCTGAATAAGGAGCATTTTCTAGTGTTGGTGATGTTTTAAGAGAGACATTGCTGCCTATCCCTTGACCATAAAGTTCCCTTAGTGGCCTCTTACTTTATTCAGGTGAAAGGAAAAGGTGGCTCATTCTATGCTGGGATCATAGGGTACTAAAATACATATAAAGGCTGGTTAACTTTATCTATCTATACTTATAATAAATCTGTAGAGAGGTCAATTCTGTGCATGGAATATATTTTCAAAATAACTATTAGGGGGTGATTAGTTATCAATACTGATGTCAAAATGCAATCAGTAAAATTTTTGTCTGTCTGTCTGTATGTTCATTATAGTAACAAAAACTACCCGACGGATTTTAATGACAATTATTCTTCATACTCCTGGGCAGGTTATAGTATACTTTTCATCACGCTATGATCAATAGGAGCAAAGCAGTGAAGGGAAATGTTGGGAAAACGGGAGAAGTTACTCCATTTTTAAGCTTCCGTCGCGTGTACAATCTTAATGGCCACTTTTTAAAATGTAAAAATGTCCACCCGTGCGACGCCGGAACGGGCCGCTAATATTAAAATATAAATTACATTTATTTCAGCATCAGCACTTACCAAATTGAATGAGACCAAGAATTTCAAGATAGTGAATGAGGTTTTTAAAATACTATGTGGTGAGGCTGCAACATTAACTCCACCTAGTGAAGGGGAGCCAGCCAACATTAAAACGGAGCCTGAATCTCAAGTGTACAGCCCTGAGAGTGAAGCACCAAAATTAGACGATATGTTAATCAAAGAGGAATCTCTAATGGAGATAGAGGGTACACCCACCGGCCGTAAAAGTCCTATTATACAAACTCGTAAATTTTCTAGTATTACAAACATAAATAAAACAAATTCTTCAGACAAGAAGAAATGTCCAGATAGTTGGTAAGTACAATTCTTTTTTTTTGTGTGTTGTTGTGTGTGTGAGTTGAAACACTAATAATCTCCTATGTGGAAAAAAGAAGCCATATTGCCAAATGTTTCCTTGCATTGTGACGGCAAACCACCGTAATTATGAATGAAGCTGATAAGTATTCACAAACAAATACAAACAGTCCCAATGAATTGGGGGGAAAGGGGTTGTTAGCAATGGAGTTCGACAGCCCCATTGCTAGCAATATCAGGTCGACCTCCACGTGGTTCCCCCTTGAAACCATCGTGAACAATTCTTGTTGAATTCGTCACGATAGGCTAACTGACCCTTCATCCTCACCTATCATCTTTCACTGGTGCCCCGCCGGTGTATATCAATAGCGCGGGTAGGGTTACCATTCCATTATCACCCATAAAAAAAAATCCCAATGAATTGCGTACCCTGGGCTCCAATAACTAATAACACAGGTAGTTCTAGACAAAAAAAATTCAATGTACCCTTTTCATTTGTGACTCGATGCAAAATATGCTTTAGAAGGCCCTAGTTTTAGTGATTCTATTATATATATATATATATATATATATATATATATATATATATATATATATATATATATATATATATATATATATAATAAGAATCAACACCATTAAGTTTAATTTCGCTGTTTGTCAAACTAAGGCTTTAGAAGTGTATAGATTGAAATGCGATAAATCTGTATGCCAATGCAATCTTTGGCCCATAACTAGACACACACACACACACACATCTATATCTCATTTCAATGTAATCTTTTCACAAAGGCCTACACCAGAGAAGAAAAGCATGAAGTTATCTCATCATACACCGCCCAGAAACAAGCCTAACAGTAGGTGGAAACAGTCGCGTCTGCCGTTGACGATCTTGAAACCGTCCAGTACTGTGGATCTCACCAGTTCTCCAGAATTTTTCGGAGGCAGCAGAGTGAAAAATGATAAATTCAATGTACAGGTAACACAATCAATGTATTAGTAGTCGAAATATAATATAATTGTAGTTAAAATAGTAATCTTAATTTATAAAAATATGTAGTTGTTTTCGCTTAAGGAAGACCTATAGACCTCTTTATTCTACATTACTTCATATAATGGCTGGGTCAAGCTATATCTTTTAATTTGCTCTATCGTTCTCGATAAAATATACACCATTTTTAAGTGGATTAACGCAATGAATATCTGGCGGTAAAATTCGTCACACACAAACCCGTAATCACTACATAGTATAAAACTAAGTCGCTGTCGCTGTCTGTCCGTCCCTATGTATGCTTAAATCTTTAAAACTAGGCAACGGATTTTAAAACGGTTTTTTTTTTTTTTTAATAAATAGAGTGATTCAAGAGGAAGGTTTATATATAATATTGTAGAGAAACACTGACAAATTTAGAGGTTTCTAACGTGATGTTGTAAATGAACACATATTTTAGCATTTCACCCATGCAAACCTGGGGCGGGCTGCTTGTTTAATATAACATGAGTAGATAGAATTTTCGAAAATAATATATAGCTCATGTTACTGTACATTTCTATTGGTAAAAGAATTTTAAAAAATCCATTCAAACAAATTAAATATACGTATAGTATTGACACTATAGATTGTATAACCACATTCCATCCTCTACAGCGAACACAGCTTGACTGCTGAAGCAGAGGTAGATATGTAGAAATTTATCTTTGAATCTTTCGCTTGTAGTATAAAGAGACGGCGAGGGATGGGCAGCAGCATCCCTCTTAAAACATCTCCAAAAGCCTAACTACGGTTGCCAACCCGCCTGCCAAGCGTGGCAACTACTGGCAAAACTCCTCTTATGGGGAAGGCTTATGTTCAGCAGTGGACAGTTAACGGTATTAATAAAAGAAATTGTCCTCGACTATTATATGTCGAGGCGAATGTCTGGAACATCACGGAAAATGGAGTTATTAAAAGAAATAATAAGGTATTATATTATTGTATTAAGGTTTCTTCAAGGTCAGCAACGCGCACGTGATACCTTTAGTTTGCCAGGCGTCTACAGGCATCTACGTGACCGTTTACCATCAGTCAGGCTGTATGCTACCTTTATGATGTTAAAAAAATCTCATTGAATTCTTAATACACTTTCAAAGTATAGTCTATCAAATATTTGGAATTAATTTTTACAATTTATTGTTTTTATTTTTTAGACACTTATTAAAAAAGAATCAATCGAAGGTGAAGATACCATTCTGCCTTCACCGACGAGCGGTTCTACTGACTGTGCAGCCTTGTAAGTTATCTTACTTCTTTTAGTATTTATTAAAGCATTAAGTAACAAATAAAATTATTGTTTAGTATATGAAATACTATATATTTATCTTAATGGCAACACTGAAAATAGTTATTTTTGTATTTATATTATTACAACACTTTTTCGCTCCCTTCCATTCTTTCATTTGTACTGTCTATATATGAAAAATAATAAATAATATAATAATAAAACGATTATTTCGAAGTGTGAGAATCGTTTTTTACTTCTACACTACAAATATTGTAAAGTTTTATAAAAACATCTAGATGTTTGATACAGAATCTTAAATCATTAATAATGAAATTTACAGGTACAAAACAACCACTAAATTCAAAGCTCCATTATCGCTTATACGGGACAAATCTGAAAAAGTGAAATTAGAAAAAAATACCGTTGAGAATCAGATGGGTGATAACTCGGACGCAACCAATATAGAAGATTCCATAAATTTGCTGCAGCCAAATAGGTAACTGTTTTATGTATTTTTAGAGTGACAAACAGACATACGAATTGCTAATGGTAATCGATTAGCGCAACCTACATAAAAGTTTGCGCAAATGCAATATATAAAAATGCTTGCTAACCTGCAAAACGTTAGGAATAACACCTGAGTCCTCAGGAATGGCAACGCATGAGGGGTATCATGGGCGAAACAGTATACTCTGTTATGACCATGGTACTGCTCATGTCTATAAGCGACGGTTACCACTTTCCATCAGGTGGGCCGTCAGCTTGTTTGCCATTCTAAGTCGTATAAAAAAAATGATAAACATTTAACACTATGGTAACAATCGTAAAAGGCCTCGCCTACCCCATTTGGGATTACTGTCATAAATATATTTATTAATATTTATAGAACAGTTAATAAATCTAAACGAAAATCACCGAAGTCAAAACTAATGGATGAAGACTCGACACATTGTGACACAAACGATAGTGTATCTCTCTTACGTTATTTGTTAGAGGGAAATGAGGAAAATGTCGGAAAACAGAATATGCAGTTCAGGTATGTTTCATAAATTTAATAATAGTAAGTAATTCTTCTTTTAATTTAAGACATTTCTGTTATCTGTGCAACTAATTCATGCATCTTCCTCCAGTCAGCTCTTTCCCAGGCCATATCCTTTACCTCCCTGTACGACATGACACCTAGTGTTTCTTTTATTCACAATGTGAAAGACAATGGAACTAAGATATATATAACTAACTCCCCAAGGGGAAGGCAGTTCAGCAGTGGACAGTTAACGTTAGGTTAAAAATGAAAACACAAAATTCTTTACGTTTATCAGTGTAAAGGACGGGATAAACAGATGATATTCATATAGATGACATGATGAATTATAATAATGCTTATCTTCATTATTTACCTAATTAACAGCTAAGAATATATTTAAAATTATGTATTCAGTGTCAGAATAATCGATAATGACTGTTACGTTAATATTATTTGTATAATATATTAAGACACAGTATATGCATGACTAATTTATAAACTAATTTATAATTATTCATTTAAAACTTTTCAATTCAAATTTGAAAAATCGAATGTGGTAATTTTTTTTCTTTTAAATTTGATCCGGGAATTTTCAATCGAACTACTTGCAACACTGAAAAATGGCGCGTATATTTGTCTATTAAAAAAAAATTGTGTCAAATTCCCGCCCATTTTTAACTTTTGATACTCCTTCGATCTTGAGGATCAGATTATGGATAAATAAGTAAATTTACCTAATCGATTGTTTTCAAATAATACGGTTATTACAAAATAGCATTTAATTTTAATAAATTATTATCGTTGTTTTACAGTCCTAAGAAACAACCATTAGCGGAGAACAAAAATTTGCTGAACACGCCAGAGAAAGATGTACATATAGATTCCAGCATGTCGCTACTGAGGCCGGAATTTAATCCATCGAAAGTTGCGCTATTTGAGGACCAAGTTAAAAGGTACAAAAGTTTTATGTTTTTCAACCGACTTTAAAAAAGGGTTTCTCTATTTGGGTGTATTTTTTTTATCTTTTTTTCCTCATAACTCCGTCATTTGTTAACCGATTTGAAAAATTCTTTTTTTATCTCAAATAATATGTTTTCAATTCCGTTCGATGGAAATTTTAATCGAAATCGTTTTGTAGTTTTAAAACAATTGATATTGCCACGGTTAATGTCACTTTTTTATGGAATTTTTTTTTTTATTTAATAATATGAGGTTCCGAATTAGTATTTTTAGTGTATGTTACGTGATATTTTCGATGAGTTTTGAACTGATTTAAATGATTATTTCAATACTAAAAATTTTTTAAGTTAAAAACGCAATCCTGTGTTTCAGTAATCACTAAAATAAATCTGTCATATGTAACATTACTCTTACTTTACATTGTTTATTTTACCGTGTTTTTGTTATTACTCTCGTGTTTATTGCTTCTACAATTATATCGTTAATTTTCTTGTTTCTTTGCCTTTTGATAATTTTTAACCTATTATCATAAAGGTCAGCATTCAGAATAAATGCAATGTTAATTTGGTTATTTGACAAGACATTTGCATCGCTTCAACAGTTTATATTCAAGAAAAAATATTAATTTAATTTTTTTATATATAGTAATATTAAACTATTTTTTTTTTTTTTTTTAGTAAACCAGATGTAATGGAACCTATATACAAAGAGCCAACTGTGAGAAAAAAAGCAGAAAAACTCGCATTGCCAGGCTGGAGTTGTGACCAATGCAAAGAAGTAAGTTTTATAATATTTGATTTGAAATGAAATAGACTACGTCATTATCTGTTTAAATAGAACACAATGAAAAACATTGACAAAATACCAGAGGGAGACTTTGTACAAAAGTCGTTTGCTTGGCCACCTCTGTTCTATTCGTGTTTCTACCGTGAAGCAGTTGTATGGCTGTGTTTGGGTTTGAAGGGTGGGATATGGTGTGAATTTACGGGGTACATGTTTTTTTTTATACAACTTATGTACCCAGTAAATTACAGGGTACAGAGGAATCATACCCGAGTCCTCAGGAATGGCAACGGATGGGGGTATCATGGGCGAAACAGTATACTCTGTTATGTCCATGGTAATGCTTATGTCTTTAGGCGACAGTTACCACTTTCCATCAGGTGGGCCCTCAGCTTATTTGCCAATTTTTTTTAATGGGTTATAATGGAATGGTAATCCCACTCGCGCTATCTGTATACACCGGCGAGGCACCAGTGAAGGATTCAACAAGAATTTTTCACGATGGTTTCCAGGGGGAACCACATGGAAGTCGACCTAATAGGGTATATTGCTAAAAATGGGGTTGTCAAACTCCATTGTTAACAATCCCTTTCCCCCCGCTTGTTTGCCATTCTAAGTTGCATAAAAGAAACCATTGAACATTGGCCCAACTATAGTTTGCTGTTTTCCAGCAATAGTATAAATTAAAAATTAGTTAATTAATTGAATGTTTGCTTTTGTTTCTAATTTAATTAAAAGTGTTTCTATGATAATTTCATCGAAACTTGGTTAACATTTCATTAAGTTCTGTCGTAACAGACTATTTATATATTTTATTATATATATATATATATATATATATATATATATATATATATATATATATATATATATATATATATATATATATAATGGGTATATATATATATATATATATATGTTACAATATTTTTAATCTTTGTAATTTGAATGCATGAAAAATATCATGGGCATCAATTGTATTCAGTGACGGCCATGGTGCATGTACATGTCTATTGTTGTCACGTTCAAACAAATATATATACATATATATTACACTTGTAAATTACATTGTTAATGTATTTATAAATGTTCACACATTATAAATACATTCAAGACATTCAAGGGTGGACTTATCTCTGACAGAGATCTTTTCCAGTCAACCCTGTACAGTTAGAAACCTTGTTGTTAGCGGGCAGCTGAAGTGCTACAACTATTAATATGCTTTATATTATTCTCAATTTCGTGTATAATATAGTATATGTCATATATTTTTTATTCATATATATTATATATATATATATATATATATATATATTCGTTTATATATGTAATTTTAGTATTTATGTATATTAATAATTAGTAGTACCGCATTCGAGTATTCTGACCCTTCCCTATGGTTGACTGGGAGATAATGTTTTTAGCATTAAGTGTGCCATGTACACATATTTGTACTAATGAATAAATAAATAATATTTAAAATATGAATTACTATTAACACTTATCAATATATAAACAAATATACAGTTAAATGAAATATTAAAGTATTACATAAATACTTTAATATTTCATTTATTTATATAATATATATGTATATTATATAAATAAATAAGTACAATACCTACCTACTTATATAGGTACCTTACTAACTTATATACCTGTAATACAGGTATTCTTATACCTATCTCAGGCACCAGTCTCTCACAGTTATATTTATAATTTGATTACTTTAATTTAAGCATGTCTCATTGTATTTCACTGTGATGAATTGTGAAGAGGAAATAAATCTATTATTATTATATATTATTATTTACTTCATTCTCGGCTAATTTGCCGGTTTTCTCAGACAACCCGTCCCAAAAACATTTGGAAAAAAGAAAGCTTAGATCCGAACCCCTTTTATTGCGTGTGTGTATTCAAATATGCATACACATATATATTATTATTATTATTATGAATGTTAAAATAAATTAATATACTTTCAACATTCTTTAGTGTTGTAAGTTGTATAAAAAAAAAAACAATATCATAGATAATACGTCACTAGCTGGTAACATGTAGTAAGTATCTTTATGTATTTATTTTTTTACAGTTCTACGATGAACTATATAAAGACAATCCGGAGATGCTCGCCAAGAAAATGGACGAGTGCTCGAAACATCGCGGCAGGAACAACCCCGCGCGGCCCAAGACCCCCACCGGGTTCTGGAACCCGAGGTGGGATGTGCCCGAGGACACCGAAGAATTTAACAGGAGAAATAACGCTGTCTGATAGCAATACGTCTTAAAGTATTGTACAGGTGAAACGGAAGTCGTTGGTATTCTTTAAAATGGGTTCTGTCAGTGAAATTGAATATTTTCGTCAAATAATCGTGCGTCGAAAGACGACAAGTGTTAGCGCGCGCCGTCATCCGGTTACGTTTAATGTCCCGCCAGTAAGAACTAACCTACTTCAGCGCGCTTCCTTAACTCACGCAGTGCGGTTATTAAATAATATTATAAACATTGATATATTTAGTAGCAGCCTGCCAAAGATATTAGAAGCGGCTCAGATATATCTAGAGTCGGGTTAAATACATTTATTATAACTTTGTATGTTTTTTTTTTTATGAGTGAAAATGGTATGGTAACCGCGCCTGCGCTAACGGGATACGCTGGCGGGGCACCAGTGAAGGGTGACAGATGAGAATGAAAACAGGCCAGTTAACCCATCATGATGAATTCATCAGGAATTAACCATGATAGTTTCCAGGGGGAACCGCGAGGAGGTCGACCTGGTTGGGTATATTGCTAGCAATGGGATTCTGTCTTCATTACTAACAATCCCTTCCCCCAACTTTGTATGTTAGCACACTAGATTTGTAACATTGATTTGGCTTTTGCTGTTATAATGTTGTAATTATTTTTAATGAATAAATAAATAAATAAATATTAATGGTAGACTCAATTTTTTTTGTCGTTTTTGAATATTTAAATTACGAAAATTGTGTTCTAATATGTTCTATGGTATAACTGGATTTTTAATTTTACATAATACTTACTAACGATTTCCGTTTTCGCCCTGTATACTAGACACTACATGCTGATAAGTAAAAACATGTAATTTCAATAAAGTAGGGAACTAAGCATTAAATGATTGTTAATATATAATAACAATACACTATTTATTTATTAATATCTTTTATATTTTGTTATATAAATGGTAGCCGGTTAATTTTTTTTGTATAAATATGATTGAAGTCAAGGCTTAGAATTTTTTTTTCATACAACTTAGAATGGCAAACAAGCTGACGGTCCACCTGATGGAAAGTGGTAACCGTCGCCTATAGACATGAGCAGTACCATAGACATAACAGAGAATACTGTTTCGCCCAAGATACCCCTCATGCGTTGCCATTCCTGAGGATTCAGGTGTTATTCCTCTGTACCCTGTAAATCCACTGCCATATCTTACCCTTTCAACTGTAACGTAGGCATGTAAACACAACTGCTTCACAGTAGAAACACTAATGGGACAGAGGTGCCAAAGTAAACGACTTTTTTTGACGTTTTAAAAAAGAAAGGTTCTCAGTTTAGTTGTATTTTTTTTTATGTTTGTTACCTCATAATTGTGTCAGTACTTAACAGATTTGCAATATTATTTTGTTATTTGAAACGATATTGTTTTATACCACTGAGGTTGCAAATAAGCATACGGCCCACCTGATGGTAAACGTTTACTGTAGCTAACTAATAACTTGTTTTGTCACAACTGAATTAGTTTTTTTTTTTTTTTTGTAGGACATAATCTTTAATTATAGTTTTAATATCCTTCTAGAATTTAGATGTACAAATACTATTTGAGGATAGCAAAATATTGTAAATTGTATATAATACATATCATAGCATTAAGTTCAAATATTGTATATCTAAAAACTAAGTCGAACACTTAATACAAAATGTTGAGCATTTGATCACACTATACACATACATACATACATACATATCTGTCACACCTGTCTCCCATTAGGTTAGGCAGAAACAATGGAACGCCATGCTTCGATTCAAACAAACCTCTTTCGCTTCTTCCACATTCATCAATCTTTTCATACTATATATATGTTACTATAATTATGTCACATATTTTTCAGCGCTGTCCTTCATGCGTTTTTTTTTTTGTTTTCACCTTTTCGTTAGCTGGTAGAGAATGTCATATGGCATTTAAGCTCGCCAATTGTACAAAGTTTTATTATAAAGAGTAAATAAATAAATATATAATATTTGATGAGTAATCCCAAGGTGCTTTGTTAGACGAAAAAAATAAAAATAAATAAATAATAGGAATAATTCTATTTAATAATAATATAATTATTTTACTTAACTAGATGATAATCTGTTATCTGTAATCTGTCTGAAACCCATGCTACATGTTATTTGATTTAAATTATTTTGTTTAAATATTTTGTAACTAGTATGTATTATTAATATTAATGTTGGCAGTCACACGCATACTAATGATAGCGGAATTAAACAAAATATATCAAATAATAACAAATAATGTAAGTATAATGATTTTTATAACAATAGGATAATTTCATATTTAATTATATCTAAACTTGGTAGGTATAAAAATAAAAGACTACTCAAAATTCAAAAGAACTGAAACAACCCACCCGCCTCTCAAACGTAGCGTTAGTTTATGATTTTTTTAATAATGTTATGGCTGACCACAGGTAAGCTGAGGGCCTACCATGAAATGTTTTCCGAAATATCGGAGCCAAACGAAACACAAATTTGATGTTAAAATTACATAATACATGCCGTTTGGAAATATTAAAAATAATAAATTATTGTTCCTTTTGACTTTTACGATAGGATGTATGACGAACGAAATGTTAAACTCCATTTATTGGTGCGATTTTGGTATAAACAAAAACAGGAAATACGTCTGAAATTTCGGAATTTCATTTCATGGTAGACACGCAGATTTGGTTTCCGCGAACAGAATTAAAATTTACATCCAGTTAGTACAAGAATATACATCATATACAATATTACTGTAATAACAAAGTGAACTTTGGAAAATATACATATACCTCGTGTGTACGGAAACCTAACCAAGAAATCTTCCATGATGATAAATGGGTATTTAATAGGCTTGTATAGTTCACGTGTAACAAGTGAAATATCATTTACTACGGAAAATCATACGTCACTCCTGCTACCTAGCTTCATATAAGGGCAAAGCAATAAACTGAGTTGTGACCATTTTGTGTTACTATGGCACACGCATGAAGGAAGGGAAAGAAAGGGAATTGTTAGTTTATATATTTTGTTTTTTTTTTTTTTTGTTTTGTGCTTTTCTATTTTCATTCTTTTATCTCTTTTACTGTGTATTATGTGTATGTTTTTTTTTTTTGTAATTTGTGTGCTGTAAGTAATGTAAATAAATTATCTATCTATCTATCTACATATATAGACCGCTCGGTTAACAATAAAATGAAATCGCAACAAACTGCTGTCTGGCCTGTACATAGTGAGTGAAACGAAGATATTGCACTGCACTAAAGTCTATTCTCGCTCGCTTTTATCATGAAAATCATAATTTATATTTAAATTTCATTTGCAAATAATTGTGAGTGCGACATTAAATCACAGTGAACAAAAATAACATTTTAATTTAGTCGTAAGTGATATTACAATGAATAAAAATAATAATATCACAAATTAATAATGATTAAATGTTTGTTACATTTTTTATTAATTTACATGCCTGGTATTTAACGCACTGGTGAAAACTGGTGAACACATATCTACCTCCAGAACTAGGTGTTATCTTACTGAAGTCCATATCACTGGTTATTTGATTATCTAAAATTATTTGATTGATCGATATTAATTATTTTAATTCCGCTGCCATTAGTATGTATGTGACAACCAATACTCAAAGATTGATCACCACTATTACTACCAAAAGTTTCACAACATTCTATATTAACTATCAATCTCCGACCATTATTTCTTTCACGTATGTTTCGCGACACGTGTTTCACTTTTAAACGAGGCATCTTCAATTTAATTATTAAATCGCTACTGGAATGATTGAATGTTCAATCTTCGAGAGTTAGCAGTCACACACATACTAATGGTAGCGGGAACACAATTCTAATCAAATAACTAGGGGGGAAAGGGATTGTTAGTAATAGAGACTGAGAAACTCATTGCTAGCAATATACCCAACCAAGTCGACCTGCTCGCGGTTTCCCCTGGATACTATCATGGTTAATTCCCGATGAATTCATCATGATGGGCTAACTGGCCTGTTTTCATTCTCATCTATCACCCTTCACTGGTGCTCCGCCAGCGTATCCCGTTAGCGCAGACGGGATTACCATACCATTTACACCAATTGAAAAAAAAATCAAATAATTAGTTCCATAATCGTTTCTATTACAAATATACAATTATTATCAAACTACACGATAATTACTATCGCTAGTTGGCGTTGTCACCACGCAACCACAATTGGAATATATATCAATAGGTACACGTTCACGTATCAGAGGTAAATTGTTAAACGACCATTAATTAATGATAATTGCCACTTCAGTACTCCGCTAGTTATAATTAGGTCTCTCATAATACACGCTACCGGCAAGATTATAATTTTTAATAGTTATTATGAATTTTTTTTTACTATTATTTGGATTGACTATATTTTACCCTAGCCCTGTTAGAGAGCTTGGAATGGCTGTAATTTCAGCAAATCTCGAAACCTCTTGTGATTGTCATCCCCTTGTTCACGCATATAAAGTTAAGGTGTAGGCAATAAAGATTAAATAGTATTAAGATATAACCAAGTAGTAATTTATCATACAAGTTATATATGAATGAATGAATAAGTATACTTTATTTGCATTATACAATATAGGAAATAAACAAGACAATTTACAAACATAACGATAAAATTGTATAAGTACAGTAAGGCGGTCTTATTGCTGAGAGCAATCTTTTCAAGACAACCTTAATGTAATGGACTAATTGTTGTACAAGTAGGTATAATAGTGCTTTATAATTAAAAAAAGCATCTTTTGCAAATTAAAAATATATAAAAATTATATACATATATACACACATATATACATACATATATACCTTGACGTCAGGTGCCTTACGGAACCATTAGACAAACCTGGGTATTGTCCAGTGGTAGGGTGCAAAAAATATCTCGTACTCCTTTGCCCCCATCGAAGACTTATATACATACTAGAGTAGGTGCAATATAAATCGTGCCCTAAGATCCACCCTGAAATACCTATATCTCTACATACATCTCTCGTTTCATATTCTCATAAAAATTATTTGTGTACAATGATATACATGATTAAACAAGTGGACGCAGATAATATGAAAGATAGCTGTTACATTTCCCATGTATGCGATAAAGAATTTTGTGGAGGCGAAGCTATGTAATTTCCTTGATGAAACAAACCCATGGAAAAATATAAAAATTCAATAATGATATAATTTCTGCCTATTTAATTTTTAAATCTAATCCCTTATGTAGTTTCCTTCTTATCTCTCTATATTCTGTACTTATTTTATATCGATACTGAAAATGTACAAGGAAAAATAAACGGTACGAGATCGTTAACACTTAATTGTCCCTATCAACCACTCGAGAACTACTGTTTACTGACGAAACTATATGCGATCTACCAATTACATACTTCTTGAAATCTCAAATGAAACAACATAGTTCAATACACAATTATGTAGTATTGTAGTTTTTTTTTAAAAACAATAAAAAGTCTCAATGTACTCGCACTTAGTACTAGCGTTTGTAATCTGTGTTAGAATCTGAAAATATAAGATGACTAATACAAAAGTACATTACTGTGCACACAAATGAAACGGGTTAAAAACGCTTCAACGAATATATGTATAGAGGTCGGTACTGCGTACTTACATATTTATGAAGTTGTCAGCACCTTAGGTCGTCATTTTATATTTTAATTTAGATTAAGTTTATGTTAAGTGAGAAATGTTTATTTGTTTTTATTCTCGCTGGCCTGTGACCATTGACTTCATTGCGTTGTGTATCTATGCATCGCTTAGTTTTATTATTAGGTGACGTTATCTAACGGGACTTATTACTTATTCTAAAAAATCTACTTCAATATAACGCAAAGTTAATAAGAGACTGCCTACTTATAACTTTGTGTTATATTAACATTTTTATTTCATAAATATGTATTTCCTTGTATCTAGCATTTCACTTGCCTAAGAACAATTAAATATGATTAATGTATAAAGAATATTTAATTTCAAATGTTACCAATGTGATATGTAATCTATCTTTGTATTTTTATATGATTCCAATTAAAATATTTTTTATATTAAATTATTTATTTTATTATAACGATTGATGACCCCTGTTTGCAGTTATAAAAGCGTTGCTTCACTTAAACAATCCGGGATCGATTCTCGATTGAATCAATTTAGGAAACATGCTAAGTTGGCTGATTTTGACTTTTTTTTTATATAGTTCGTTGTCCATTATATAAATAGTAATAATCCCACGAAGTCATTTAGGTACTGTATAGTACGCAATCTAATGGTTTATAAATGGCTATGTAACACAAAATTTAAACTAATACAACAAATTGATACAACTAATGATGACAAAAAACTAAGAAAAATCCAGAAATTTAGACCATTTACGGAAAATGTGGGCGAAGGTTTATGTATGGCGTCATCCGTGTCAACGCACACATGATGTTTTTATGTGTAAGTATAGTATTAGAACACCTACATGATCATTTAGATGTGAAACTTACTCAAAGTTCAAACCCAAGATTTCATATTAATGAAAATCATATGCTGAAATAAAATTTAATTTTTTACGTATTAATGTGATTTTTATTACATAAGCAGCACAGATTTTGTATTATATAAGTATCTACTATATACTGGGCTATGCTAAATCAAGTCTGCAATTCAATACATCTACCTTAATAGGTATATTAACGAAGTGCCTTACACGGCCATTATACTACTTTTGCTATCGCCTTGACAAGTTGCCTTCCTACCTTAATAGGACGAAAAGGCTACGGAGATACTATTCTAAGCTCTAGCTATCTATATTTATCATGTACTACGTGTCTATTTATAGAAATATTGTATTCATTGTAAAAGTATTTGGGAACTACAGCTTTCATAAAGATATTTAATATACAAATTAAAATATACTTAGCACAAATTGTACATTCATGAATCAGTGTTGTTTGCCAAAATGCCAGCAGTTAAAATAACATGACTTGCTAAATCACGGCATGGGCGTACGTGTAAGGTGAAGAACAACAAACAACATTTGGAGAACACCTTTTATTTTTCTCAATAAAACAGAATATTATAATTTTTCACTAGCTTAAGATAAAAAGACAATATAAAATCAAAGTTGAGGATTAGAACATTTAATAATCAAACTATTGAATATTTTTACAATAAAATAAAATAGCTATCCAATAATGAATGATGTCAGACCATGGGATTCTGGTGTCACAGCGATTCCCCGATTTCTAAAACACTTTTTACTTTTTTTTTGATGATATTTTCCATGTTACTATATAGCTTAGAACATTGTGGTACAAATGATGATTTTGCATTCATTCAAAAAATAGTTTCATTTACAACCGTTTGAACAGAAAATTTATGGTTACCTTGATATACATTAATATTTTTAATGCTACAACAAATTTACACAGGTCTATGAAAGTTTCTTGGCTTTCTGGTAAAGTGTATCAACAACCTTGCTCATATGATGGATGGTCTCAAGAACAGTCTCATAAGTCTTCTCCAGGGGGGATTCATCGAACACAATAAGAACGCCTTCACCTTGATCCAGGATACCATTCAATTTCTTGTCCAAAATCATTTGCGACAGTTTCTTTTCAACTTGTACTACAGGGAGACGGATGGAGCGTGCCACATGGTCTACTTGCACACGCATATATGGCTCCACAATGCGACATAAGTTCTGTTCTAACATTGTGTCATATAAAGCTCCAAGATGGGCACGAACAACTGCATCCTCTTCCAATTCCCGTTTATATGTTTTCAATGCAGCTTGGAAATCAGCGAGTGACCGCTTATGTGAAGCAGTCGCAACGGCCCGCATTGCTTCTAGTTCCTTGCCTGCATATTTGAGGGCTGCTTTACTGCCACATACTGTAGACACTTCCTCTGCCTGATTTAACATTATCTTGGAGAGCAACATGTATTTCAATGCTGTTAATGCTTTAGGGCTATCAGCTCCATCATAACCTTCAAATGCTTCATAGAAATATGAGTAAGCAGTTTTGAAATCACGTTCATCTGCAGCATGAAGTATTCCAGATTGTAAATCAAGCGCTGCTTGCATTTTGGGTGGACAATAAATAGCATTGGCAGTAGTTCTCGCGGACGTCAATGAGGCACGGGCTTTAGGCAAATTGCTAAGTGCATGGTAAGTTTTGCTCTCTAAAAGGAGAACTTCCACTAATAAATTTTTGTCATCTAATTTCTTCAATTCTTTGAGGAGTGCTGTGGCCAAGTCTAGGGCTTCCGTATACATACCTGTGTCGAAATAAAGGGCGATTAATCTCGCTTCTAGAGACTGTCTTAGGAAGGTGCGACGTTCTTCTTTCGCCCATTCTATACATTCTTTACAAAGTTGCACTTCTATACCGATGCCAGCTTCCAAATCCAGGAAGAAATCAACCAGTGAACGGACCAATTTTGCTGCTTTCGCTTTACTTATCAGACTAAGGAAAGGTCTGGTGGCTTTTATTAGTTCTGCCAACTCCTTAGCCTTTCCTTCTTTTTTATATTTTTCACCAAGATTTAAAATGCCTTGCTCCTTAGCTCTTATGTTTTCTTCGTCATCTTCGGGTACCTCGCCAGTGCTAACCATTTTGTCGGTCATGCGGACGTCTTCGTCTCTGTTCGTTGATGACGAGACGCGTGATCGTTCGAATAACATAGCTCCGGCCATGTTGTGTATATTTATATGCTTATACTATAAAAATGTATTGGATAAACAGCAAAAGCACACTAAAATGAGTAGACTTTTTCTTTGTAACTCTGTATAATCGCTAAGTCATCGACGACCCCTTCTTTCAGAAACAAATCGTAGACGCGGACAGGGTTGCCATTCAAATATTTTTTTACTACCAATTTCTACTAACTAGAAAAGAAATATTGTTTTAATTATAATTCAATACCAATATATCTATCTATATACTAGTCGAAATTGTTTAATAATTTATTTTGTGATGCCATGGTTAAAAGTCAATATAGTTTAATATTGATATTTAGGTGCCCGTAATCGATCAATTATTTAAGAACAACTGATGATTGCACCTTGTAAGACAGAAATAAAGCACTTCTTCTTTTATGTTTTAACAAGTGTTTGGCCATGCGTGATTATGCACGAACCACAACGGTACGTAAGCGTATTTAAAGCGGCGGCCGGATGGGTTGTGCCTACTCCAGAATTATGTAACTATATTAAATGTTCAGTACAAAATAAAAGGAAATCTATTGCTGAAATAAATGAAGTTTAAACATTTATCTCCAAAAATTATAGCTAATTTTTTATTCAAATTCAAATTAATATTCCGCAGTCTTCAAAAAAATCCCATCGTATAGTCGAGCTTTCTTATTTAAATTGACATTCAACTTTTTTTAAATTTAAAGTCATAATTTGAAAGTTGTAAATAACAGTGTCAAATAAATTTTCCCATTACGAATAAATTGATACTATTACTATCTACTTAAAATAAAAACGTTTTTTCATGTTTATAAAAATGGAGATAAAAAATATAAAAGTGGAAGATATAGCATTTTTGTTTGATATTTCTAAAGAAATTAAACATATGTATGAAACTCCTGTAATTTTTATAACTAAAAAAGATTACTCTGATATTTTATTTAATGCAATGTGTACTATACGTTCTGCACTTCAAACTGATTCTAAAAATAAAATTATAGATGTTATTGTTGATTACCACTTACAATGGTTACACGCTGTAAATGAATTAGAAAATTTTAAAAAACGTGTTTATGATGTATCTAGAGAGGAAATTTATCAGGCTATTAGTTATACGATAGATGCTATGTCGTATCGATTAAAATATTATCAAAAGTACATGCAAAAGAATCGCTCAATGCTTTCAAATTTAGATCAAGCTAATGTAATAGCTGATTTAGAAATAATAGAAGATATGCACAAAGAAGTTACTGTCCATTTATTGGAAAAATTGAGGTGTTTCAGAAACTATATTAGTAATGACGAATTTGTATTGAAAGTAAATGAGGCTGTTGATGAACTTTTACAATGGTTAGATAAAATTAATGACGGGGTATCTATACAATTAACAGCATATATAAATATGAATGTGCCGCATTTAACTGGCGATTTAACAAAAACTTTACAGCAAATCGTTGAGGACCTTCATAGTTCTGATACCCCATCAGGTCATAAAATGTTAGAAGAGCTAAAAAATAAAGGCAAAGAATTGAGGACAATGATACGTTCAACTGCTGGACACAGTCTTGAAATAAGCAAAGTGGTAGAAAAGATTAATATTTTAGAAGAGCGTATAAAGCGTTTAGAAGGTGAAAAGACTTCGGCTGCAGTTATGGCCTTAAAACATAAGAAAGAATATTTGGAAAAAAGACTTGATTCCTTAGAAAATTTGAAGACAACATTGAAAAATATTCATAATATGGTTGATTTTAAATTAGATGTTTCCGAAGAAGACCTGTGCACGTGTGAAGATTTTTATCAGCTAAGAATATTTAATCATTTTCTTCCTCCAGAAGAACGAGAACGTTTGGTAACAGAACTATGTTATTTATGGGATTTAGCAGTGTTTGGGGATTGTAGCCACAAATCTATAATTTCTATACTTAGTGCTGCCGATATTAAGGAAGAGTATACTGATGATCTTGGCACTTATTACATAGATGAACATAGTAGAAAAATATATAAAATCCCTGACGATGTTACCCTTTACCAACCAAATGAACACAATGAGTTAGTTCCTTTGACAGACGATAGCGAGCATATTTATTTTTATGACGAGTGTGGTCGTTATTATGTCGATGCGAAAAGTAGGCAGAGAGTTTATAAAGCTCACGCTACAGCTAGTGAATTTATGATGGACTCTTCAGGTATTCTTTTAAAAATAAAAGAAGAGCGAGATGGTGTGGTTTACTACTACGATAACTGTGGACGTTACTACATAAATAATGAAGGTAAACATATTTATCGAGAAGAAAATGCTTTAAGTGAATATGAAAGTGACGGTCTAGGTAATTTAGTTCGTATTCGAAGTCACCTGGATATATTTCAACCATGTCCAGATGATGTTCATGTGACTGAAGATTTTAAATATTTAAAACAATCAGTTGGACCTGCTTTGCGTAAATGTATAGCTGATGTTATTATCTATCAGCCTGCTGATCCTATTAAATATTTATCGCTTCTATTAATAAAATTCAAAGAAAATATAGAACTGAAAGAAAAACGATCCAGAGAAAAAGAGGAATTTAATATTGAAAGAGAAATTAAATCTGCTGAAGAACGTGCAGCAGCTGAGAGAGCTGCTATGGAAGCTGTATTACTTACTCAAGGTGGAAGTGAAACAAGCTATGACTCAAATTTTTTGAAATATACATCTATGCATCAAGATGATGCGTTATCAGCAGGAGTTAGCTCAAAAAAATAGTAATATAATTACTAAAACGAATTGTTATTCTTATTTCTAACTTTTTAAAATAACAGCTTAGAAAAAGCATTTTTGTTTTATCTAGAAATGTTATTAGTTTAGTTTACATATAACATTAAATTAGTCGACGTTACTATGTCTTCACTATAAACTATTAATATATTCTTTTGTCTCATACGTACTATATATTTTTATTCTTTATAAACTTAGTCTCCATATGATAACCATTAATCTATATATTTATACCTATAATTTTTGAGTAATAGTTTTAGTATGTATAAAACTTTATACAGGTATCTAAGGTATATAATTACGGTAAAATATACGACTAAAGATATATAATGAAAAGAAATGCAGGGAAAAAAGTGGAAATAGACGAAATGATCGTTCTTTTCGTTGCTTGTTTTGTGACACATGGCAAAATGTAGTGAAAGAGGTAACAAAATAAAATAAAGAATGGCAAATACAAATGCTGTGCTGTAGAAACAGGTATTATACTAAAATTATGTTCTGTGCAATTTTTGGCAAACGTAACTGTTTTTTTTTTTGCTGGGTGAAAATAGTATGGTAACCTCGCCTGCGCTAACGGGATACGCTGGCGGAGCACCAGTGAAGAGTGATAGATGAGAATAAAAATAGGCCAGTTAGCCTATCATGATGAATTCATCAAGAATTAACCATGATAGTTTCCAGGGAGAACCGCGAGGAGGTCGACCTGGTTGGATATATTGCTAGCAATAGGATTCTCAGTCTCCATTACTAACAATCCTTTTCCCCCCAACGTAACTTTTTGTATCATTATAGTATTATAAACAAATAGGTAGGAAGAACCGTAATAAAAATTAATTAAGATGGCAGGTAGGTTTTTTTATGGGTGAAAATAGAAAAATAACCCCACCTGGGCTATTAGCGTATGCTGGCAGAGCATCAGTGAGAGATGATAGGTGAGAATAAAAGCTGAGGGCCTACCATGAAATATTTTTCGAAATTTCGGAACCAAACGAAACACAAATTTGATGTTAAAATTACATAATACTTACCGTTTAAAAACATTAAAAATATTATTCCTTTGGACTTTTATGGTAGGATTTATAACGAACGAAATGTTAAGCTCCATTTACTGGGCCGATTTAGGTATGAACGAAAACACGAAATTGAGTCCGAAACTTCGGAAATTCAATTCATGGTAGGCCCTCTGATCAATTGGCCCATCGTGACGAATTTTGCAACAATTAACTATTTCCAGAGGAAACTGAGAAAAGAAAGTCGACGTGAAAGTTAGTAAGACAGTTCCGTGGAAATCTTGAAGATAAGGTGAAGCTGGTACCAAAAAACTCGATGTGCTTAATAGAGCGAGACAATACTTCAAACCGGATAAACGATTAATGCTCTATAAATAGCAAATCCGGTTCCACATGAAATATTGCTGTCCCTTATGGGCGGGAGCACCTAGATACCAGTTTGAACCCTTCGACTCAGTGTAACGACGAGCTATGAGAATTGTCAATGGTCCCAGGCTTACAAGCGGTATTAAATCCTTAAGTCTTAAGTTATAGACTACGGTAACCGCTTACCATCAGGTAGACCGTGTGTTTGTTTGTTACTACGAAAGTATAAAAAAAATATTGTTGACAATGGGACTGTTGGACTCCATTATTAATAATCCCTTTCCTTCCTACCGTAGATAAGTAGATACTATCCTTGGCTACGGTACCCATTTACTACCAGGTAGGCCGTATGCTTATTTGCCACCTCAATGGTATAAAAAAATAATGCTAACAATGGGGCTGTTAGACTCTATTATTACCAATTCCTTTCCCCCTGCCGCAAGTAAGTAGATACTATCCTTATTCGGTAGGGAAGTACTTACCTAGCGAATTACTTTCGTACCATGAAATAATTGTTATTAGCCATAGAAAGTACTATACCTCTTGCTCGGAATGTCACCTAGATTAAGAATAGTACCTGTGTACTAGGTATTATTTTTATTAGTAAACAACATATCTAACAAACATTATTTTATTTTATTAATTTTATACTGTAATTTTATGTATACCATAATGTAACTTCTATAAATCATTACCAAAGAATATAATACCTTCTTTCTACCGAGTAATACTACTAACTGTAAATATTTTTTACTATGATAAGACCATTATTAAGTTATCTGTGCTACTTGACAGCTGATAGGCGGCCATGTTTGTGTGAATTTGATTGTGTCGATGATTTGAGTTGAGTCGCTGGTATTCGAAGACCTATTTTCTGTATCAGAAGTTGTTTATTTTTTTAAATAATAAATTCGAATATAACGAAATTCACGTTTCAGTTCTTTTATCGGTATTAATAATTAGCTAATAGTGACTAGAAGCGATTCCAAAAAAAACATTTCCAGTGCCTACGTACTTCCTACAATGATTAATCTTTTGGGGCAAGGTTCTTCTGCATTTTATGTAAATTAGGAGGGTACTGTGTGACGTACCGACCACCGTATGTTGTCATCACGTGCCAGTGTAGACGCGAAGGCTCGTTGTGAAGGTTTGTTGGTTCGTCGTTTGCATACATAAGTCGTTGGCGTTTCGACGTAAATAATAGTCCAGTTCTTTTGCGGTTGCGTCTGATGGCCTTTTACATTAGTGAAACTTGGTTATAAGTTGTGTAGAGATGGCTCCAAAGCCCCCACCGCCGCCAGGGCCACCTCCTCCTCCTGGACCGCCACCACCGCCTATTTTTGGTGGTGGTTCAAAAGGGAGTTCGGCTGATAATAGAGGTGCCTTGCTAAACTCCATAAGACAGGGTACGAAGTTGAAAAAAACTGTGACAGTGGACAAAAGTGGACCTTACATACCAGGAAAAGTTTCTAATGTGACTAATAGTGGACCAACAGTGGGGAATGGAGTCCGAAGTACAACTATACAGAATGGTGGAGGATCTGGCCCTCCAGGGCTGGGAGGACTTTTTGCTGGTGGCATACCCAAGTTAAGGCCTACAGGAAAATTAGCTGGTGAGTAATATGTTCTGTAAATTATATATTTTACTTTAAACAAAACTTTAAGAAATAGTACTTAAGTAGTTAATCAGTATATAAGCCATCTGTGAGGAGTGTCATGGGTAGCAATATATTCTGTAATGTCTAAGTTATTAGATGACAGACCTCATTATTAGATTATTCATATTAGTAACTCATAAAAATGTAGTTTTGACTTTAAAACACCATTAATATCATCATATTTGAGATGTACAATTATTTCACATGGATTTATTATAATATCAAGTATTCTATGTTTTAAGTTAGGATGAAATTTATTTGTGTATTAAAATTCATATAAATTCATCCAGTAATTTTTGTATGAAAGAGTAACAAACATTTATCCATTTTCATAAACTTTCTGATTTATAATAATAAATCAAAATGAAATGGTATCCTAATATACATACATATTAAAACTAGAATATTTAATAAAGAAAAATTAAAGTTTCACTTGATATAGAATTTTTACTTTTAAAATGAAAAAAAAAATGAAATGTTATTATTATAAAAAAAAACAGAGACTTGGAATTATCACTTATAGTTGAGTACATTATGAAGAAGTCTGCATTACTGTCAATTACTAAACAAGGTGAAAATTTTAAGTTTATTACAATATATACATAGGTATAGAGGGAGACTTTGTACAAAAGTTGTTTGCTTGGGTACCTCTGTCCCATTCTTGTTTCTATCATGAAGTAGTTGTGTTTGCATGGCTGTGTTTCGGTTTGAAGGGTGGGATATGGTGTGAATTTACAGGGTACAGAGGAATAACACCTGAGTCCTCAGGAATAGCAATTCGTGAACGCCCATCATGGGCGAAACAATATACTCTATTATGTCCATGGTACTGCTCATGTCTATAGGCGACGGTTACCACTTTCCATCAGGTGGGCCATTAGCTTGTTTGCCATTCTAAGTTGTATAAAAATAAAAAGGTATTATACAAATTAGACTAGGACTAGTGGTTGATGTAAATAATTATTTTAATGACTTTCCCTGTTTCATTATTATAATCATATCAAGCTTTAATGGTCCACTGTTGAACATTGGTTGCCCTTCATAAGAGAGGTTTTGTCATTAGTTACAATGTTTGGCAGGCGGATTAGTTACCATAGTTAGGCTTTGGTAATGTTAAGAGGGACGCTGCAGTCCACCCCTCGTTTAAAATTTGCTTAGCCACCTTTTATAACACCCATGGAAAAGAAAGATGTGTCCATTCTATGCCGGGATGAAATGATAAATTAGTATTATATTAAAAAAATATTTAAATTTGCATCAGAATGTTTGCACATACTCTCACCAATTGTTTGGTTGCCAAGTTAGCATAGTCCTAAAAATTTCATAGCAAAATAGCAAGAGCTAAAGTTACTGTTCAAACTTGAGCTAATTTAGAAAATATATTTTTCTAATCTGAGAATGGAATCTGCTATGTACCATACTTATGTGAAATAAGATACATAGACTATTATACCTAAGATTTATTTATTTATACACATCATGGACATAAATAGATGTATATAAGCAGTACATATACTGCTATGCTAATGCATTACAGAAACTTAATCTAACATCAGTATAAGTTATATACATGTACTGCATGTAAATAATACATTAGCACAAAAATTTGGTCTATAAAAACAGATTATATTAACATAGAAGTGATTTAAATCAATAGATAAAATGTTAGCTGTTTTAAATTTATTTATGGCAATAAACTTGGTTTTTTAGTTATTTTATTCATAAGTAGTCTCCAAATTTAATGATAATTTTAACAATTCCTAAACAATATAAAGGGTAATAAAATTGTGAGTTGTACACATGTGTCTATTTTTATATATAATAAAATTATAAATAGATGATGGCTATATACCCAGATAGGTATTTAAGAAAAATATATGGGGGTCATAAATAAAAAACAGAAGCCAAAAAAATTTTTTTTTTTAATTTTTGTTTACCTATAAGTTTGGTTTGACATCACGCAAAAACTGCTGTGCCAAATTGGATGCAGTTTTCACAGTGTTCTTAAGGATCAAACTTAAAATATGGTGTGTTTTATTATTATACATATAGGAAGTTGCAGGCAAAGCTAAGTTGTTTTATTTAGAGCATATTATTTTTATTATGTCCATTAGTGTGATTTGTAACTGCATTTGGGACAACATTTTACCTAGGTCTTTAATTTACTAGTTAAAATCTGCAATAGGGAGGAAAGGGATAGTGATGGGGTATAAATTTTCCATCATTAATAATATACTCCTATTAAGTTCCGTATACTGTTCCTCTTATAAAATATTATTTTAATTTATTATATTATTACATTAATATTAATATATTATATTAATTATATTAATGTTAATATTATTATATTAATAGAAATTAACCATAATGTTTCAAAATATTTTAATGTTTTAAAAATTCATCATGATTCTCTAAATGCTCTACTGATAATAGTCCCCTATTATCTCACACTGGGGCCCCATCAGTGTATACTTATAGTGCAGATGGCAATACCATTCTTTTTTGACTCATTAATGAACTATCTGCAATATTATAAAATTAAAAAGTCTAATATTTAAAAAAAACTTTGATTTTGTTTCGGTCCTGTTCTTAATATCTGAATGTTATTTTTAATGTTTTGAACATGTTGGTATAAGGTGTTAAACAGATGTTTGTCCAGTTGGGATAGTTATTATGAGATGAAATTAAATAATAGTAATAAGATTGCGCTTGATCTCATTCATATAAGTTATGTAGTCACTTTGTGTTCATGACAAAATTAAAGTGTTGACGTACTTCGCTTATTGGCGACCGCCGATGCAAACTCTTTACACATTATTATACTTTTTTATATACATTTACTTTTAGAATGTTCTTATTATTTGTAATTTTAATATTATATTTTTTGACATACTTCATATTGTTCTGTTCCTTGCTTTCTGTTTAATACATTTATTTCGCTACTGAATTCCGTGTCTACATCTTTTCATCACCTCATTAAAGTCCACCGCTCCGTAATATCGCCATTACATGTACTTATTTATAATTTAAAATAATTTAATTATAATTTCCATTATTTATATTATATTATTATTTATATTGTTCATATCTTTATTCATTTAATGACATTTAATAATTTAATTCTATTTTAATGTTTATCCAACACAAGGCATGCTGTGGTTGCCTATAAATGTAAGAACAGTTAGATCTAATCTACCAGTGTATTGTATTGAAATGTTTAGCTGTATCTTATGTTGGTAATCCTATAAATACATTTAGTCATTTGTTTACACCAGCTTTGTAATTGTAGAAGAGTTGTCATCCTTCAGATTTTCCCTATTTATAGGCATCTCTTATAGTTTTCATATATACTGTTTTTTTTTTATTGGATGATAATAGAATAGTAATCTCACCTGCACTAACAGTATATGCTGGTGGGGCACCAGTGAGGTATGATGGGTGACAATGAAAAGGCAAGTTAGTGCATCTTGATAAATACACCTGGAATACAGCACAATTGTTTCTAGGTGTGTCCATGTGGAGGTAGACCTGATAGGATTGTTAGTAATGAGCCTGGTAGTTTGCATTACTAACAATCCTTTCCTCTCTTAAATATACTGTTGGAGAAATAGATTATATTAAAATTTACATTTAAGTAAACTTTGCCTAAATAATATGTATTTGATGTAAAACTGAGAGATAAAATTAATGATTTAATTAAAAAGAGTAATAGGATAGGATAATTATTATCCTCACTATTCCGCTAGACTGAGTAAAGGCCCGCTGCAAGAGCGAGCCATCGCCGTCGGGGCCGCGGCAGACTGCTGACGTGCCCCCGTTGCCCCGACATTGGCGCGAGTAAGGAACACCGGAGGGTTTTAGCCGGTATCATATATGGGTCCTCACTAAAAAAAAATCTACTATTTAAACCACATGTACATGATGATATAATATATAGTTTTTGTCTTAATTTATAAAATTTTGCCACCTTGATATATTTATATACCTTATAATGTTTATCTCTTACCCTGTTATTCAAGATATTTATCAGTGCTTGAATAAAGATTTACACATAAAAAAAAATCCCTTTCTGAAAATAGACTACTAAGTTATTATGTATTATTTATTTATGTATCAATGTTTTAAGTATGTGAGGTATTTTATAAAATTAGGGTATGATGAGACTGACATATCCTTACAGGATAAAAGCCTCTAAATAAAAAAGATAAAAAAAAAACATAAAAAATTACATTATCTTTCAAATTAAAGGAGTCATTGATACCTTAGTAGGTAATTTGTATTTGATAAGTATTATAACAACACGCTTGATAAGATTTTTGTCACCAAACATGGAGACAATAAAATTTTAGTTTTGTATTTAATTTTTAGAATTTGTTTTTTTTTTTTTACATAAGTGGGTGTAAACAACACATTTGTTTTTTTTTATACAACTTAGAATGGCAAACAAGCTGACGGCCCACCTGATGGAAAGTGGTAACCGTCGCCTATAGACATGAGCAGTACCGTGGACATAACAGAGTATACCGTTTCGCCCATGATACCCCCATGCATTGTCATTCCTGAGGACTCAGGTATTATTTCTCTGTATCCAGTAAATTCATGCCATATCCCACCCTTCAAACCGAAACACAGCCATGCAAACACAACTGCTTCACAGTTGAAACATGAATGGGACAGTGGTACCCAAGCAATCGACTTTTGTACAAAGTCTCCATCTGGTAATATATGTAATAATATATATAATGTTATAGAAATATATGTACTTACCTAAAAAAACTTACTGCTATCAAAATTTTATTTATAAACTAAATTTTGCAGGTATTTTGTTCTCATGTATTTTACAAATGAAATAGACATCAAGATGGCATATCGAGATTTTTGCATGATGACAGACATACAAAAATTCTAAAAACTATTGGCTTTGGTATTGGCTTCTATTGCTCCTTGTATTTTTTTAAATATCACTTTTTTTTTAATACCTATCTCCTATGTAGAGATATCATCTGGCTACTAGGCTCATCATCATCATCATATTATACATCATTTATCCATTGTCCACTGTTGAACACAGGTCTCTCCTATACTACTAAGGGTTCCAACTAATAGGTACTACGTATTTAAAATAAATATCCTACTGTATTAAACCTACATATATAAATACGAAAGCTTACGAGGATGTTTGTTACTCTTTCACACAAAAACCACTGAACGGATTTCAATGAAATTTGGTACACGAATGGGTAAGTTACATTCTAATTTAACACTATGTTTTTATATACTGATTTATGTGAGCGAAACCGCGGAATACAACTAATAATACATTTGTATTTCGAGATTATTTATATGCCTGTACTCGGTAGCACTTTTGTTTTCTCCGCGGTTTTAAACAACTGAAAATGTACAATGATTCTTTTTGGATAATAATGGAATAGTAACCCCGCCTGCTAAGCCGCCCGCATGATAAGCTTCCGTCCCAATAACAGGGTATATTGGGACGGAAGGGATTGTTTATAATGGAGACTATGCCCCATTAAAAAAAATCCCCCCCCCCCCCTTCTCTCCAATAGCCATTGTGCTATGATAATATCGTGATATGATTGCAGATCTATTCATCTTGATAATTAAATGACCTGCTTTTATCCTCACTTATTATCCCTCACTGGTGCCCCGTCAGCATATTCCGTTATCGCGGGCGGGGTTACTTTTCCATTGTCTTCCATTACACAGGGTATATTGTTAGCAATAAGACAATTTCTTCCCTTTATGTAAAGTGGTAACCTCCTTTGATGGGGGGGGGGGGGGAACTAGGTCGACCTCCTCGCGGTTCCCCCTGGAAACTATCATGGTTAATTCCTGATTAATTTATCATGATAGGCTAACTGGCCTGTTTTCATTCTCATCTATCACCCTTCACTGGTGCTCCGCCAGCGTATCCCGTTAGCGCAGGCGGGGTTACTCATTTTCACCTATCAAAAAAAAAACTTCTATACGCTATTAGTTTACTTTTGTGTGAGTATCTATGAGCAATGATGGATGACGACGAAGACAGGTCAGTTATGTAATAATATGTTAAATCATCAGGAATTTCCCACGTTGATTTCTTTAGAGGGGACTATATGGAGTTCGAACTGACAGATTACGATTTGGAATGGCAACGCATGGAGGGTATCACCGGCGACACGGTATACTCTGATATGTCCATGGTACTGTTCGTGTCTATAGGTGACGGTTACCACTTTCCATCAGGTGGGCCGTCAGCTTGTATGCAATTCTAAGTTGCGTAAAAAAGTACATATTGCTAGTAATGGGGTCGATGGTAGTCCACAATGCTAACAATCATTTTGCTATTTATAGTGGTTTAGTTCCGCCACAGTTTCACCATCGCGGACTTACCATATATTCAGTGACAAACTTTCGGATGTATGTAGACATAGATAGAATGACCACGTATTCCAACATAAAAATAATTTAACATTTTATAGTGTATGCATTTAGAGTCAGGGGTGTTCTTCTCTAGAAATCTGTCCGATTCTAGAATAAAGGCAATATGCAACCCCGGCCTCCCGATTTTGTCCCAGTCCTTTCCGCATTTCCCCCCTTTTCCTTTCCCACATAAGATATTTCTCTCATTCAATATATAACGTTCCCTTCCTTTTTTCCTCAATCCTTTCCTCCATACCGTAGGTGGCGGAAACCACCAACAAATGCATTCCCAAAGAGGGTTGACGTCAGGCAGGTGGCCGGTCGTAAAACTAAAAACCAAATCTTTTTGTAATATGGATAAAATCATATTACACCGACCCCAAATGATTGGGATAAGGGTAGGAAGATGATGATAGTGTATGCATTTAGAGATAATAAATATATAATTTTACTAGCTTTTACCTGCGACCTCGCCCGCGTGACCATCCCGATTCATGTTCACTGACTGTGATAAAAATAGCGTATGTTCTGCTTCATCCTATATAGTACTATTATACCATCATTGTCATCATTCTTCCTTAGGGAGTTTTGCCAGTAGTTGCCACGCTTGGCAGGCGAATTGGCAACCGCAGTTAGACTTTAGAGACATTTTAAGAGGGACGCTGCTGCCCATTCCTCGCACTCCCGAGGCGACTAACGCTTCTTATGACACCTACGGGAAAGGTAGGGGGACCTATTCTATGCCGGAACCACATGGTCAAATACTTATCTATATATTTTGGTATAATTTCATAGTGATTAGTAAAGCTGTTAAAGCGTTAAGCCAAGACAACCAAATGCATTCTCACATTTTTTATATTAGTAAAGGCTAGTTGTATTCCTCGGCTTCGCCCGCGTGAATCAGTACATAAAGTATCCTTTGTGCTACGTTAGGATATAACTTACCTATGTATCAAATTTTATTCAAATTCGTTTAGTAGTTTTTGCTTGATAGAGTAACAAACATCCATCCATCTATCTACCGATATATATAATCTATATATATATATATACAAATTTTCAAATTTATAATATTATTATTTTGTTTTCAAAAAAATATTAAGTTAATCTTCATTCTCTCATCGAAGATTGGCGTTATTTTGAGGTTGTGAAAATTATTTGAAAACTACCTTTATGTACTTATTTAAAAATTACAGTTTTCGTCTAGTTTCTACAAACACTACCATTTTTTTTTGTAGGTACTACTCCCAACGGCCAAGTGAAGTCAGATGCGCCTCGGTACCCACCTCCCCATCAACCCCAGCAACCACCAAAGTTTTCACCCGAGAAGACCAGACCAGGTTATCCACCTGCGGCCGGCAATGTCAGTTCTCTATCGGCGGCGTTGTCAGAAGCACTAGCAGGCCGTGACAGTCGGGATTCACCGAGGGAATCACCCCGGGAGCCCCCACGGGAGCCGCCCCCAGCCAGACCGAACGTCAGGCGGCAAGCCAGTGATATAAGGGCGAGGGGGCCCCCGCCACAGCCACCCGTGCAGAAGTCACCTATGCCTTTGGTAAGTCGTAAGTTTTTATTCCCATGGTACTTACTATCCGTGTAAAAGTAGGGGAAAGGGATTTTTAGTAATGGGGATCTAACAGCTCCATTGCTAATAATATACTCTATCAGGTGGACCTCCATGCGGTTTTCTTTGGAAATGATATTGGTTAATTCTTTAAGTATTTTTCAATATAAGCCATCTGACCTGTTACATCCTTACCTGTCACTTCTCACTATCACCTCACCTACCGCCGCCAGCGTATAATGATAGCGCGGGCAAGATTACCATACCATTATCAATCATTAAAAAAATCAGGTGAGAGTAATAAAAATCTTATGAATAAGGCTTATTACATACTAAACGATTACTTACCGTCCGTGAATGAGATATCCCATGCATTACTTATATATTATTATCTATATTACGAATTAAGTCTGAAATACATCTGAATATATTTTGTTTGACATATAATTCAATATAATATTTACTATTATGGTCTTTATTTGTCTATTATTTTAATGCTTGTTCTGTTTACTAGTCTGTATTGTTGACACAAATTTAGAATTGTGAAATCAACGTTTGTTAAAAAAAGCAACGCTTGAGTTTCTTACTCATTGTATATAGCTAAAATTGCATTTCGAATATGCACAATTACTATTGAATAATGCTTGTAATTAAGTTTATTTGAATAAAAAATATTGTTATTCTTAGTATGGGCCATGACCCTCTAGAGTTTTTAGGCTGTCTTCATTGTACATCAAATCCTTTGTAGGCATAGGTAATATGGATACCGATCCGATATCTCTATATTGTGTTCCATTGATGGTGGAAAAAAGGTCATTACCCGTTTCGATATCGGCTATATTGGTCGGATATATATTTGCGAATATGTAAAAAGCCTGTTATTTAATATTATTTTTTGGATAACAGACTTAACATATTCGATATTGGACCAGTATATAGATATTGTAACTAAAATATTAGATATTGCTATATAATACCCACTCCCAACCTTTCATATGGCTTATTGGACAACGACTTTTCTAAGCAGGAAGTAACAGTAATTTTTAAATAGTCTAGACATTGTAAAATGTAGAGGTTTAAACTGGGATTTAGTCTTGGGAACCTTTGACTAAACTGTTACCGGTTTTCTATAATTTTTTTTTATTAGCGTATGACGTCACTCAATTGTATACTTACTACCCTGACCTATAAATCTGAAGAGTTGTGACGTTGTCAGCCTAAATCTGGTCGACACTAAAAACTTATTATGTTAATTAATACACAGTAAATAAATCAGAGTGAAATATTTTCCAAAATGTCGGGGCTAAACAAAACATAAATTTAAAGTTATATAATACATACCGTCTTAAATTTTTAAAAATATTAAAATATCGTTCCTCTAGATTATTATGGTAGGATTTAAGACGAATGAAATGTTAAGCTCCATTTACTGGGCCGATTTCGGTACTAATAAAAACAAGAAATTGAGCCCGAAAATACAGTAATATTGAATTTCACGGTAAACCCCCAGATTAAACCATATCCTATGTGTACATACATTTTTGAGTATCTCATCTCCCATATTTCGAGCTGACTCGATGCCCGTATCCAATAGCTAGGACGGATCGCTCTGCCAGTTACGCGACTCAGAACTATAAAAAAAAAACAGATTAACGTAGACGTAGATAGTGACGATGGCGCTAGACTCGACCATAAATGCTTATTTTTATTCTATCCTTATTATTTTTTTAATTTTACTCATGACCATTGATATTGGTATACGAATGGAGTGTAACATTTTTAGTTAGTTGTATACATATTCAACAAAAATACAAAATTAGCATTATAAATATAACAAGAGTTAGATAGAGGTTAAGAGAGGAACTGGCTGAAAAAAAGCGTTGTGAAGTTCATTTCGCCTAATATGATACGCTTTTTATGATAATATTTCTGTATTTTCTATAGTAACTATGTGTTTTTCTGGTAATAAATATATTCTATTCTATTCTAAAATGTTCTGTGTTTACATACAATAGGAAATATCATTATTATACTATTCGTATATTATATCGTATTTTGAATTTATTGAATGCTTTAGTTATCTGTTATTTATGTATTATATTCGTCAGCATATTATTTTTATTTATTGTGGTCAATATGTTTGTGTGGAAATTACGTTATTATGTAATTTATTGCCTTATTATTGTATTATTTTATTACAATTATTGTTTATTTAGTTATACCCATATTACTTATGCTAAAATCAGCAGTGTATATGTAAGTATGTACCTATTTTTTTTTTGACGAGTGAAAATTGTATGGTAACCCCGCCTGCGCTAACGGGATACGCTGGCGGAGCACCAGTGAAGGGTGACAGATGAGAATGAAAACAGGCCAGTTAGCCCATCATGATGAATTCATCAGGAATTAACCATGATAGTTTCCAGGGGGAACCGCTTGGAGGTCGACCTGGTTGGGTATATTGCTAGCAATGGGATTCTCAGTCTCCAATACTAACAATCCCTTTCCCCCCAGTATGTACCTATTGTAGTATGTAATAATTTATTGAACTTATACTGGTGTGGAAGTTTCTAATTATTTGTTATGTCACAGTATGAGTCGATTGATATTATAAAGCGCTGTCCACACAGCATCGGGCCCAAGACGAGTTGGCCCGGGGCAGGGTAATCAATGATATTCCAATTTCGCAGGGCGGTCAAGATGATTTCTCTTTGTGTATGATACGGTCTTTTTCTAAACTTTTAAGTGTGACAAGAGAAGAGACAGTCCTATGCATACATTTTTGTCAGGTCATAATAAAACCTTTAACGTATCTTGACGTTTGTTGTGCAAGTACATGGCTTGAACAAAGTGAAAATTTTGTTCGTAAACAAAAGTCGTAAATGTAGCGCAGGTCTTAAAATGCACATATGCTAGAAAATTCCAGTGTTTCCATGTATACTAATTGAGAATTTAAAATGGCCCTTGCTGAAATTTTAAAATTTTGAAGTGTAAATATTCCGGCATTTTTATATCTTCCGAGATCGGCATATTGTGAACAGCTGTTTTTTTCTTATGGGTGAAGATGGAATGGTAACCCTGCCTGCGCTATCGGTATACGCTGGTAGGGTATCAGTGAAGGGTGACTGATGAGAATGAAGGCAGGTCAGTTGGCCCATGGTGATCAATTGAACAAGAAATAGTGGTCACACTAAGGTTTCCAGGGAAACCGTGTGGAGTTCGACCTAATAGGGTATATTGCTAGCAAGGAGGTTGTTAAATCCCATTATTAACAATCCTTTTCCCCACTAGTGTGAACAGCGGTTAATACTACTAAATAGTAGCTAATGTCTACGCAGTAAGCGTACCTATTTAAAGTAACACTTGAGTCCTCAGGAATGACAACGCATGGGGGGTATCATGGGCGAAACAGTATACTCTGTTATGTCCATGTTACTGCTCATGTCTATAGATGACGGTTACTCCTTTCCATCAGGTGGGCCGTCAGCTTGTTTGCCATTCTAAGTTGTATAAAAAGAAAATAAAAAAAAAATACCAGTGTAGCTATCGTATTAAACAATATGGACGTAGGTGCAAAATTAATTTATTTAATATGTCTAGTCGAAATACCTACATCAACAACCGTTAATTTCACCGAAATTTATTCCATCAGGAATAATCTATCAAGATTGGTTTAAATTTAACAGCTACGGACTGCCGCAGCATATGGTTATCGTCACCCACGAACGCTTGCAACACGAATGGTGTTGCCAGATGTGATTTTTTTATATCAATTCAATTTTTTTTCCAAAATTCATACGATTTTCTTCATTGAGTAATGACAGACTACTACTTTCTCTCTGATTTTACTACATTTTATCAAGTAACCACTGTTACGAGGGATGAAAAAACAGTCCTTATCTACATTGGTCACTTGACCTCTTAACGTCTTATTTATTGTTTTTAATGATGTATTCAGTCAAAACTCTTAAATAAATCACCCAAAAATGTTCAGAGCGAATTTATTTTACTCTAAAAATTTATTCAACTGTTCTTTTTCTTCAAAATTTTTCCAACGTGAATATTAAAAAAAAATACCCAATCTGGCAACGTTTAATATGGAGAGCTTTTGCTGTTCTAATTTTAGTTAATATCTTTACGAATCTCAGTTTTTTTTTGCGGATCATATTCTAAATTGTAACTAAGATTGTACAAAAAAAAAATTTAATATGAGGGGTCTTAAAATACCAATTAATAGCAAAATAATAATTTAAATTTTTTTTATCTGCCTGAGTCTGTCTGTATGTTTATTTGTTTTGGAATGATGCAAAAATTACTACACCAAATTGGATACGGTTTTCTCATTTGTTTCTCTGAAAAGTTTACTTAAAATGTCGTGAATCTTTTCTTCTTCTTCAATCTTTCATTGCCATTCTTAGTTCTAATATCCACTTGTATAAAGTACTGGGTAAGAAGCTAGTCTTAATACATAAAAATCCTGTATTGTGATATTCATTCATTAGCATGAATCAGCATCTCCAAAATTCAAAACAATTTAATCGATTTTACTGGAATTTTGTATTGTTTGGATCAAATTAAGAGATCAAATTCTTTTTATTCCGAAAAGAAAAATGGACCACGTAGTTGGCGGTAGGGGTTAAAATACTATACTTATATATATGTTTAGTAAACTGTATTGTATAGATTTTGGATAATAAAAACACTGTATGAATAATAAAATGAATTTAAGGAGCCGTCACTGTTATAAATTGACAAAACAGAGAGAATAAAAAAAGGTTATATCATTGACAATACAAATATAACAGCAGACGATCGAAACTTAAATACCTAAATAAAACACCTCCCACACGTGGATTACGAAGTATAAAAATATCCTTAGCGGGGATAACTTTTAAGGCCACGTGTCATGTTGTAAAATTTGCCCAACCCGTGGGTGCTTCGCTTAGATTATATGTTTATATTAAACTGTCTTGGTTTCACTAAATCTTTATTCTTTAATTTCATCAGCGACTTCTGATGTGCATAATTTAAGTTCTAAACGCCTATAATGATGTTATTATGTGGAAACGTATGACGGACATTAAATGTTTTAGCGTATTATATATGCATATATTCCAATTATGGTTTGCATATTAATTTAATATTCACCGAATGAAATATTTGAGGTTAATTGTTTCAATAAACAGTTAGGGAAATTTGTTACTTTGCCACTGTAGCTGTTTAATATTTCCTTTTATATATGTTGTGGGTTTGATTCCCGCACAATATAAAATCTTTTGTGTATTTGCAAAATAAATGTAGTGTATTTATTAGTTGTCTATTGCTTATAATGCAAGCTCTGCTTAGTTTCGGACTAGATCATCATCATCATCATATTAGCTCTTCACTGTCCATTGCTGAACATATACTTTCCCCATTAAAAACGGCGCTGGTAGAAGAGGAGGGCAGCGACAATAATAAAATAATATTAAGAGAGGCTTACCGATATATTTTCTTAAGAAAAGCACACAATACAACAATAATATGTCAATCAAGTGGAAAAAACAAAATAGATATCAAGAAGACATAGTTATTCATAATATAAAAATATAAACTAAAAAAGGTAAACTTATATGAAAGGAGGTCTGTCGCCAACACCCATAAGGGGGTTTTTGTCAGTATTTGTTACACTTGGGAGTCGGGTTGGCAAATTCAGGATTTTAGAGATGTTTTGAGAAGGACGCTGCTGCCCATCCCTTCACCATTAAGTTCTCATATTCGCTTCATACGACTCTACGGGAAAGGAAAAGATGATCTAATTTATGTCTGGATCACAATTCAGTTGTTTTTCTTCGACCGGATTTATTATGTGTGTGATGATAAAAACTTTTTAGATTTTTTTTATGTGTGTGATGATAAAAACAGATTTTTTTTTTGTGGAGTAAGATTTATGTAATAGGCTTAGGTTATAGGTTATAGACATATGATTTCGCGTTCCAAATTCAAATATTTTCAGTGTAATATCTCTAGGGACCTTTCTCATGGTGTCCTCATGTGAGATTGAAGCAGTTTTTTTTGTAAATAAACATTTCATATTAGCTTCCAATAGTAATATTATTTGTAATATTGTTATGAGGAAATGTAACACGTTTTACCGGTTGCATTAATGTTCCTTTGACCTGAATTTTATAAAAATATTACGAAATTTCACAATTTCACACAATTTCACAAATTTCACAAAATTCGCTCAAACGCTCTTTAGTTATACACAAACAGACATCTTATGCTTTGTAATTACCTTTTATATTTAGGGTCGACACCCCTGATGTTGTCTTACCGAAATACGATTATTGTAACATATTATCATCAGACGGGCTGTATGCTTGTTTGCCACCATGTTTACTATCTTCACTAATATTATAAATGTGAAAGTGAATTTGTTTATTACCTTTTGGCGCCGTACCGAATCAACCAATCGTAAATATATTATGGTATATACGTACAATTTGGGATGGAAAAGATTATACAATATTATTTGTCCCGGTCAAGCAGACGAAGTCGCGACAAAAAACTAGTAGTATATCATTATTATAACAGCCGGTAACTGTCGACTGCTGAACATAGCCTCTCTCATAAGCGGGATTTTGCCAGTAGTTGCCACCCTTGGCATACGGGTTGGCAACCCCAGTTTGTCTTTTGGCGATGTTCTTAGAGGAACGATGCTGCCCATCCCTCCGCCATAAGCTCCCTTAGTCGCCTCTTACGATATCCACGGGAAGAAAGGTGCCCATTTGGTCTAGGTGATTCATTCTACGCCAGAGCCTACACGGCGAGCTAGTAGTATATAAAAAGACATTGTGACATTAACCTATCTGTGAGTCGTGTGGGATGATATGCTAAAGCGTTTAAAATTTATTAGGATTTCGCGTTTCGAAATATCTAATATACTGAACTGGTTTTCTACTGGCCTATTATTAGTTTATAAGCGTCTTAAAAAGGAAGAGGTTCTAAATTCGTTTGAATTTTTTTATGTATATATGTTATGTGATGTCTTCGCTAATTTGAAACTGATTTTGATTACTCTTTTTGGAAATGTTAGGGTTTATTTCCGTTTTGGTTTCATATTCAATCACAATTGAAAAACATATTTTTTTCTTTCCTAAATCTTAAATTATCATCGTGTGGTCTCGGCATAGAATGGGCACACCTTCCTTTCCCGGCGGTTTCGTAAGCAACTAAGGAACTTAATGGTCGAGGGATGGGCAGATGTGTCCCATTTAAATTATTATCAAAAAAAATTGTTAGCTTTAACTGCAGTCGTTAACCCGTCTGTCAATTTATTCAATTACTGAAAAACATATCTTTTCTTACGGCTGATATGAATTTTTTATACAACTTAGAATTGCAAACAAGCTGACGGCCCACCTGATGGAAAGTGGTAACCGTTGCCTATAGACATGAGCAGTACCATGGATATGATAGACTGCAGTCGTTATCTGTTTCGCCCATGATACCCCTCAGGCAAGTTGCCATTCCTGAGGACTCAAGGTGTTATTCTTCTGATACCTTAATAAACTCACGCCATATCCCACTCTTCAAACCGAAACATAGCCATGCAAACACAACTGCTTCACGGTTGAAACACGAATGGGACAGAGGTATCCAAGCAATCGAATTTTGTACAAAGTCTCCCTCTAGTAAAATTCCATAAAGAGTAATCAAAATCAGTTCCAAATTAGCGAAGACGTCACATAACATATATACAACAAAAAATTATTAAAAAAATAATATTTATTATATTCTCTGTGGGATGACAAAGTAAGAATGTCTGCAGTTTGTTTAAATTCTAGGAATATCTTAAAAAAAATCTAGATTAGAACGGTGTAGTGTGTTTATAATTTATTTGGTAACACACCTGTTTTGTGTTTCCCTTATTTTTTATGTACAAATTGATAATTTTAATTATCAATTAACATATTTCGCGCGAAAAGTACAACTAAGAACGTAATCTTTGTTATCGCTTATTGCGTTATCAATATTTACTTTCCATTATCAGGAAAATGTTAACGCCAGTAATCATGTAAAAAAAAAATGGTTATTGAAATATGCGCACTTGTATTGCATATTATAAAATAGTATTTAGACTTAATGTGAGTACTACTATTGTCATAGGAAGTAGTAAATATATCGCCGCTTATATACGCTTATCCGGCTCGATGGACCAATTAGGACTATACTTATATAGACTATGACCCCTTATATAGTAATAAATAAAAATATAGTGACGATTCTGTTTTGTCCACGATTTATACTGCGATAGAGAAAGATGGTAGATGTGTTTAATGTAGGCATTATTATTAAATCCAAGCAAAACATTTGACCTTGTATAGGAAATATGTGTACAAGAAAAGAAAAATCCGAAATAAAGTTAGGTATATTAATTGCAGACACCAAGTTTAGGTGACTCGGAAAATGTAGAGATTTCTTTATTATTATTTTATTTGGTTGCTTAATTAAGTCTCCGAGTTAATGACCGAATTATAGTTTGTTTTATTCCAAGATTGTACGAAGTCTAGTCAAATCAAGTCTCGTACGAAACGAATCGACAATTTAGCTATTAAAGATCGACCTTACTAAGACTGCTTATTTGGAGACTGTTTATTGGAATTTTGATTAAGTGTTACTATTTAAATATATTTGTCTTTATATCTAGCTATTATACACATTACATGTTTATATTTATAAGGCAAGAAAGGCTCTTTACCCAGCAACTTGGTTGCATTTAAAATTCACTAGTTATTTCCCGTGGTGTCACTTGTTTGAATCAGTATATAAATCCTATGTGTTAAGTTAGGATACAACCTATCCGTGTACCAAATTTCATTTAAATCCATTCAACCGTTTAAGTGTGAGTGAATAACAAACCTACAGACATCTAAACATCGAAACATCACAGTTTTTAGTAGGATAGAAGGTTCATAGTTGCCAACCAAGCGTCGCAACTACTGGCAAAATCCTCCTTATGGGAAGGTTTATGTTCAGCTGATATGAATGAATGAATAGTCATGAAAGCTCAGCTGCTTCAAGGCAGAAACACGAGTAGGGGATAATGGTACCCATACAGACAGCATTTGTACTAAATCTCCCTCTGGTATAAAAAAATCAATGCTCAATGAGACCTGCAAGTGTCAACACGTACACTTCCACGATTTATCGATCATTATTGTCGCCTATTAACGATCGATAAAATGTATTTAAGGTTATATATATATATATATATATATATATATATATATATATATATATATATATATATATATATATATATATATATATATATATATATATATATATAATACCATTTTATTATCAGTTCACTAAATATATGATATCCGTCGTATATTTTGTTCACTATGACGTCATATCTATGGTGCGTGCAGTGTAGTAAGGAAATTCATTGTTTATTAAGAAGTTATTAGTTGGTAATTTAGCACTGCACGTACTAGGTTAATGTGTCGGCCCATCATTTATATATTAATCTCCCATATTTGTATTTAGTACCTTAAATTATTTGTGTAAATATGCATATTTTTTTTATTCAACATCCATGACTGATAGTTTATATATTTACTTGATTTTATTTAAAAATAGTCAATTAAATGCCCACGTCCTTAAAGTATTAATTTGAAGCTAGTCTTACTCACTATAAGGTCCTAATTGGTGGCGACGTGATGTGTCGGGTCGTTAAGTTCCCTAAAATATGGTTATGCGCAATGGTCATACTCGTGAACGGGTGCTGCTTGTGAGCACAGGTGTCCTTATGTTTGCTTGTTTATTTCACATTAAATAATACATATTAATTATAATCACAGCACCCATACAAATGTAGAATTATCTTGTATATAAATGAAATGAGAAGTAACTGTTGAGTTCTTCTATGCGGGTTCTTTTCAGCAGATAAGGGGAGAGACTATGTACAAAAGTCGATTGCTTGGGTACCTCTGTCCCATTCGTGTTTCAACCGTGAAGCAGTTGTGTTTGCATGGCTGTGTTTCGGTTTGAAGTGTGGGATATGGTGTGAATTTACTGGGTACAGAGGAATAACACCTGAGCCCTCAGGAATGGCAACGCATGGGGGGTATCATGGGCGAAACAATATACTCTGTTATGTCCATGGTACTGCTTATGTCTATAGGCGACGGTTACCACTTTCCATCAGGTGGACCGTCAGCTTGTTTGCCATTCTAAGTTGTATAAAAACAAATCCAAAATCTAGCAGTAGAATCTTAAAAAATGACGATTTAAAAGAGCTTGTATAAAAGTTGATTTGTATAAAGATTCAAAATTCCAGTCTTCAAGTAATGTGAGTGTTGTAGAACAATTAGTAAGTACATACCTATTAATATATGGTATACGATATACATAATTTCTGTGGTCGCTTAGGATGGTGTAGTCACTGGTTACATATCGTGTTATAATTAAAAAAAGAAGAAATAAATGATTATGAAAGTGAATGTAATGTAATCATCAGAGAAAAAGTAAAAGGGCCACTCCGAATCTGGTTTCTTTACCTTATTTCGTAAACCAATTTACCGGGTCTTCCTACGTAACGTCAAAACGTAGGTGTATGATTTATATTGTCAAATAGTGCTTTGATGTTGATATAATGTTGATGTGTATTGTGTAGTAACTGGTAATGAATCAGAACAGTCGGGTGTTAGATCGATTCAGAAGAAAATCAACAAAGGAACGACCCATACGACAACATAACCTTCAAGAAAAGAGCATATTCCTTTTTAAAAGGCTAGCAACACACCTACAATGCCGTTGGTGTTGTAGCTGATCATGGGTGGCGGTAGTCACTTATCATCAGGTGAGCCGCATACTGCGTTGTAAACAAAAAAGAAATTGACAAAAAAACATCGAATACAGAGAAATTAAGAATGCTTTAAAAATAAAGGAAAAGCAAAAAAGACTATGCCACATATATGATAATTTATGTAAAATGGCAGTGAATTTACAGCTGAGTCCTCAAGAATGGCAACGCGTGGGGGGTATCATAGGCGAAATAGTACACTCTGTTATGTCGAGCGACGGTTCCCACTTTCCATCAGGTGGGCCGTCAGCTTGTTTGCTATTCTAAGTTGCATAAAGAAATGGAAGATGTGATAGATCGATCGATTTTTAGATACATCTACTCGTATCTTAAAAAGATTAGTCTGAAAATTTTTAAATCGAGGTCTAAACGATCGTTGTTTAATTAAATCGAGTCAAAGTAAGTGACGATTCTGATGATGCAAGCGTTCATAGGTTACGCTGGCCCTACTATATATGGCGCTGGTTGCATATAAATATGTAAAATAATGAAATCTTATTTTTTTCTTTCAAGCAACCGTATGATATAACGTTTTATACCATGTTTTATTTATAATGCGCACAAATTAGAATTTGTTCGACCAGAATCGCCAGTTAATACCTCAAATCCACAGATTATAATAATTATTAGAAGCATAAAATCCATTAAGATAGCGCGAAACTAAGTATAGTCTTTTACAAAAAAAAACATACTCGTATATGATATAATAGAAGCCAGTTTTTTATACATATTTTCTTTTATAAGATATTTATTATTAATGGCATATTAATTCAATTAGGTAATAAGTATACGCAGTCACCCACGTGCATCATGTTATAGTGTTTTATGTTTGACTTTTATATATTATTTATGACTATTAAAACTATAAAATAAATAATGTTCGATGGCCCTTTAGTGCCTGTGACGCAGCGTTTAGCGCGTAACATGTTCGGTCTTTGATTTATCTATCAGCATTTTTTTATAATATAAATATGCAATATTATTACCTATAATGAACGGCCTATCTTATCAGGTGTCTGTATCAAAAGATATAACGTAGATTGGCATACACGATATACGTACTTTAATTCGATAAAACATTTGTTTCGATCGATAAAAATGGACGAAGCTCGTGTTTTCAGACGATTAATAAGAGTGAGTTTAACTAAACTTTTATTAACCTGTATTGTCAGTTTTGTTTATAAATTGTGTATTTTTTTGTGTCTAAAGTATCTGTTGGTCATTTTGGCGAGGTCATTGATTTATGATTGATAACTATAATTTAGTTACGTGGTAATATTATATTTGATTATTTGTCTGTAAAACGATATTCGAGTATGCAACGCTTTTGTATACTCGCTAACTACATTAGTTACATGTATATTTAGACAGTTACTATTAATCTATAGATACTGTAATCTGCGAGATAACGTGAAAGAGATAGCGTTATACAGAAATTAACATAAAAACATTTTTTTGTTACTTTCGAACACTGATTCTACTATCCCCACTTTTAATATGCCTGTGTACTATTTTTTTTTTTTAATAAATAGATTTTGAAAATTAATAACCTAGAAATGTACTTTTTTTTTAAACTTGTTGGTTTTTGAATGTATTTTGTTCTTGATTGCACGTCTACGTAGATTTATTTGTCAACCCAAAAGACAGTGCTCTCTCAAATCCAATGAAATTTTAAATAAGTTATTAATATTATGTACATCTGGTTTGAAGGACCATTTTATTTGAAACATGAAAGAGAAAGCTACATCTTTACAGACAAAATTTTTATTATTGTTTATACTAGTATCTAAAATGGAAGAGTTTTTTTTTAATGCACTAGTTTCTGGTACTACAAGTTGAATTTGAAAAATCATTAGTTGATATGTTTAAAATCAATAAAAAAAAAATCAAATACCAGCAAACAGGCATTTCACTACATTGTCAAAAATAATAATAAATAATATGTTTAGTGTTAGTTCATTTCCTTGAAAGTGTACAATAAATGTCACAATAGTATCATTCCGGAACAAACATAGTAGCTATATAAAAATTATTGTTTTGCCTTATTGCTCTTACTTATACTCCTCTTATCAATTTTTTTTTAATATTTATTATCTACAGACATGTCTAGTTAAGATTTTTATATATTAGTAAGATTGCTTGGACATTGCACTTAAAATCGCTGTAAGACAATTGCACCATTTGCACCGCGGCGCGGCGATGCGAGGCGTGACGCGGTCGTCCCGTTGATCCCATTCCGCCTGATCACTTTACAGGACATCCGCCCCTGGCCCCATTTCATAACGATTTATTGTGGGCGACACATTATCTGTTATTTGAATAAACAGTAATCATGATGAGGGAATTCAAATTTCGAAACAGACCGTTCGAAAATTTTTAATTACGATTACATTAATATCTGTTGATTCTTTTAACTTAATTTATACTTATTTATGATAAGCTGAAAAAAAAGTAACGAACGAGGAAGTTTAGAAAAATGTGAATAAGAAAAGAACATTAAAAAACAATACAGAATTGAAGAGACAAAATGCTGGGCCACCTTATACGACATAACGATTTTTTAAAGAGCAAAATAGAAGAAGGAAAAATAGACAGCAAAAGAGGAAGGGGACAGAAATAACTACATGGAACAAATAAAGGAAATACTAGGTGTCGTATAGGAAAGTCAACATGACCTGAAATAGTGCTGGCTGGCCTAGAATGCATGAATTAGTTGCCCTGACAAGAGGAAACTCTTAAATGAGAAGCTAGAGAGAGAGATGGTATACTTTATATGGCCTCAGAGAGGTAGCTACTCGTATCGACGGGGTTTATTTCTGTGTTGGTCCCGGTTTAATTTTGTCCCAATTTCAATACAATAGGAACCTTTTAAGGTGCAACCAATAGCTTCATAAGATGAGCATTTAATCTGTAATTACCACGTTCATTCAAGTATTCCCTCTCTTGCACTTTTATGTCAGCCTTTCCCAAAGTGGGCGATAACGCCTTCTTGTGGGCTCTGTAGGCTTAAAGGTCTCTTACCCCCCGTAAGAGACCCAGAAAAAAAATGAAGGCGCTAAAAAATAATTTATTCTCAAAGTGGGCAGTAAACAAAATAAGTTTAGGAACCCATGTTTTATGTCGTGGTTTGTTGCCGTAGTCGCTTCTTACATGCTTAGGATGAAAAGTAGTGGTGATGGCGACAATATTCTTACTTAGCAGTGGCGAAGTAGTGACTTGCATTGACTTGTTGCTGTTGCATTATCTGGTATTGGTAGGGGGGGGGGGAGGGAGCGAGACCTATATATCCTGGGGCGAACACCAAAAAATTCTCGGGAAGGTACGGAATAGATACGTCTATGACTGGGGTGAAGGGATTGTTAGTAATGTCATCACCAACCCCATTAGCAATATACCCTGTCAGGTCAATCTCCACGTGACTTCCTCTGGAAACTATCGCGCTGAATTTCAGGTGTATTCATCACCGACTTTTTCATTATCACTTATCGTCCTTCACTGGTGCCCCGCCAGCGTATACCGTTAGCGCAAGCGGGGTTACCATAACCTTCCATTAAAAAGAAACACGCCTATGACTACTTGTATTTCAATGTTGCAAATGGAATAAGAGACAACGCTTGTTGCGTTAGTCACATTAGGTATGTCGCCATCGAGAATATTAATGAATGATTTGATGAATCATTTACATGATTGTATTTTTACTACTTATTTACTACCTTACGAGAACAATGGGACAATTATTTTTGTTTTGCTAAAAAAGGTTGCATGCAATGAACGATGATATGAAGTATGGAACAAAATTTTAGATTAGTAACCTTAAGAACCTTAAGAACGACCTGTTTATTTTACAATTAGAAAAATGGACCAATTTACAACGAGATGATTTATAAATATATTAGATTTGAATTAAGAACGCAGAATTATGTGTCTATGTTTACTTGTGTCCTTTCAAGAAAAACTGTTTTCAAACGCTACAAAATTAATATTGGGCTAAAAAAAGGAGTTTTAATGGGTGAGATTGAAATGGTAACTCTCCTGCACTATCGGTATTGACGTATGAAGTTTAGTTAGCCTAGTCCCATTGCTAGCAATATGTCCTGTAAGGTGGGTCTCTACGTGGTTCCGACGTGACAACAAGATGATTCATAGATAAATTATATTTAAAATATTCGAATTTAGAACGCAGAATCGTGTGTCTATGTTTAGATCCAGAAGTGGAACTCTTCGCAAAGAAAAACAATGTCTTTAATCGTGATAAAATTAATATTCGACTAAGGTAGGAGTAAATCTTATTGTTTGCAAAAAAAAAATCGAAATTAAAGTTGTTATATATTGTAGTTACAAAAACTATATATACCTATATTGGCCCAATAACAGATATATTAGATATTGCTTATCCAATATGTAAGATCGTAAAGGGGAGCCCGCTCGTAATAAATAAAAACACCCGACTGGTATGGGCGGGGGGGAAAGGGGTTGTTAGCAATGGAGTTCGACCTCCACGTGGTTCCCCCTGGAAACCATCGTGAACAATTCTTGTTGAATTCGTCACGATGGGCTAACTGACCTGTCTTTTCATTCTCAGCTATCATCCTTTCACTGGTGCCCCGCCAG